AGGAGTCATGGTAAGCGGCTTGTCTGAGAGAAGCGAGTGCCCTTCCCCTTGTGCTGCGCCCCTCCTGTTCGAGAACCTGCCGGCCTTGGACTTGTCCAACAACCCGGCGCTGGCAAAGCTGAAGGTGATGTTCCCGGGGGGCAGCTGCGACGGCAGCGGCCCTGGCGCTTGCGGCGTCAAGCAAGTCAGGGACACCAAGCTGCCAAGCCCAAAGAGGGCGGGGGGTTTCGGGCAGGGCGTGGCCAAACACAATAGTCATTCCTTAGGTCAGATGGTAGCGGCTTCCCTTGTTGTAGTGGTTTCCACTGGCGGACTATTATGGATTATAGGGGATCCCACCATTAACAACAATTTGGTTGGCTAATCGTTGAATCCAATCTCACCGACTTGCCCAAGCAGCCAACCTACCTTCTTACCTACTTACCTACCAGCCAGCCAACCAACTAACAGCCCGCCAACCAACCGACCATAACGGCCGCATTTGGAAAGGGAATAGAGAGGTGACCGGGTGAACCCAAGAATTTGGCTCTTGATGTCATTTCCTTGTTGTTAGAAAGAAAATCGGGTGGCGCCCCTTAGATCGCAAACAACCCCTCCTTCCTTCATTCGTGGGGCCTTGCCTTTTAGTTTGTTTTTTTCAAGACAGGGCGCTTGGTCGGGCACTCCCTCTTGGTTCTGGTATCCCTTGGAACACCCTTGCAGGTGTTTGTGGATGATGCGTCTGAAGGCAATCACGGTGGTCAGAGCCTAAGTTGGTTGCGTAGCTCCAGGCACACTGCACTGCAGCTACAGCTGCCTTTCGTTCTGCTGTTTGCGGATCTCAGGCCTGGAGTGGGCAGCAAAGAACGGCGATGTTTCCATGGAGCTGGCAGACTTTTTTTGGCTGCCCGGTATGCTCGAGGAGTTTGAAGACGCGGCCACCTCATCTCTGGGCAAGGATGCGGCGACCAAGTTCTCTCAGTCCTGCATGCTGAAAGTGCAAGCCAGCGGAAGCTTGTATTCGTACGCAGGATTGACTGAGATGATGTACGCGCGTGCCTTGGCGCGAAATAGCTGCCTGTCCGGACTGCGGGTGAAACAACTGTTTGGGTTTGCGCGCCCCATGCTTTGAAAGACTCTGATGTTGCCAATGTCACTACCCCCCGTCCCGTAGACCATTCGTTAGAGGGGATCAAGACAGCTCAGCTGATTTCAGTGTACTGTTTTTTGTTGCGCAAAAGGTGACCTGTGAGAGGATCCTGCGGGGGCTTCAGGGAAGTTCAAGTTCCAGGCTTTGGCATTTCAACTTTGAAGGTTGCTGCATGATGGTGGAGGGAAGCAGGTTGATCGCGGGCGCCCCGCTGACCGAAGTCTACAAGCTGGCGTGCCAGCGTCCTCCAGACGGAGCTGGTTCGGACTGGCAGCCATCCATCAATCATTGCGCTGAGTACCTGGCGAGCATGCGCGGAAAGGATTTGAGCATGTGCGGGGGCTTCTGGGTACTTCTTCATCCAGGGGAGATGCTGCGCATACCGCCTGCCCAGCTGATTTTGGAAGCCAACATCGGCCAGCCTTCTGTCTGGCGCCGAGATCAGAGTTTTGAGCCTTTTTACTCTACAATTTTCACAGGGTTTATTGCGTCTCAGGCTGCAGCAACGTGGGCTTGCTTGGCGCCGCTTGATGTTCCAACGTGTCACCCTTAGTGTGTCGCAGCAACACGCAACTTGCGCAGATGACCCTTGTTGTGGTGAAGCCCGCAACCCCAAAAACCGGTTTGCGTTCGTGATTCACCAGCTTCTCTTTTTCACAGTGACCCATGGATCATCCGTGATCATCCATCGACTTAGGCTGCTCCAGGATGAGTATGTGCGTGGCATTGCGTCCCAGCTCCACGCGAACAGTGTCAACGTCAAGGAGCGAACTCCAGAACTCGCCAAGCTCAGGTGCGGCGAGCTTGTCCTGAATTTCCTTTCGGGCGCCATGACCAGGCAGGCAGTGGGTGCTGAGTTAGGGTTGCTACGGGGGCATGGCTAAAACGCAGACGCAGCCCATGATCAAACTGTGGCTCACATGATGTTGGCCAGTTTTCCTATACTCCTACAGCTTTTTACGTGTTGCACAGGCGGAAGCGCGCAACCCAGCGCACTGCCCACGCACGCGCCTACATGATTATGTTTGCGCCTGTGCCCTTGTGCCCTCGTGCCTGTGCCCTATGTGCTTGTCGCACGTGCTTGTGCCTGTGTGCTTGTTTCTTGACGTGTGTGCGTGTTCCTATGAAGCTGCACGGTACCTGTGCCCTGTTTGCCTCTGCGGCTTTGCGCTTGTTTGCTTCTGTGCTTCTGTGCCTTTGCCTGCCTGTTCGTGTGCCCCTGTGTTTGTTTGCTTGTTTGACTCTGCGCCCTTATGCTTCTGCGCTTCTCCTTCCGCATCTGTTTCTGCGCGCCTTTTTGCTTATATTGTTGTTTTGTGCGTGCGCAGCATGCCGCCTGTGTGTGCCTGTGTGCGCTTGCGCATCTTGCCTTGAGGGCAAAGATGGAGTTGGAATCGCCGCGGCCAGCGCCAGCTTTGCTGGCGACGGAGCCAGAGACGCTGGGCCGGCAACACAGTTGGTTCCCACCTACAGCCTCCAGCCTTTTGCTTTCCAGCTTTTGGGTGTCAGGCCACAGGTCAAGCAGGCGTTCGATTTATCAAAGTATGGCGCACATGAATCAGCAGGGGTTGTTGAAGCTTGCAACTCGCAACCTGTCTCACTCTCAAACTGAGAACAAGCTGGGCTTGCTCGTTAGGTTTTTCTTCCTGAAGCAACTCGTTGTTTCTTGCTTTTGCTTGCGCCGCCCGAGGACTTCCCCGGCTGGTGGCAGATCAGAAGCAGAAGAGGCTCTAGAAGAACTTCGGCGATCAAAGAAGCAGACCGCTGCCAAAACCAAGACAAAGCCAACGTCCAAGATCAGCACCGTGCCCAAGGCAATCAAGGACGAGCCCTCTAACCCAGAGGAAACGACAAACCAAGCCCCAGCCCCGTCAACTGAGACTTCCTTGCCAAAGCTGCCAGCCCCAAACGCCACCTCCGACGCAGAGGACCCGGACCCTGAGGCTGAGACGGTCGCAGCTGACGCAAATGCCATAGCCGAGCAAGCCACAACCCCTGCAGCCGAGCAGCCGGCCGGAGGAGTCACAGCAGCAGAAGCCACGCCTACGACCACCAGCCACCCGCCTACTCTTCAACCATGCAAGGCCGAGATGAGTGCAGGCCAACTTGCGCAACTCCCCGTCAACGAGTTCTTGGACGCTCTTCATCTTGGGCCAGGCGGCCCTCTCGTCATTGACGATTCAGATGATGAGCCGATGGGCCTTGCTGAGAATCCCAAGCCCCAGCTGCAGCCGCAGCTGGGGAAAACGCCAAAAACAAAGGCATCGGCGGCATCCTCGTCGCCGAAGTCTCAGCCCCCCAAGCAGGCGAAGATGGCCAAGGCAGCTGCGGGGCCGAAGGCCAAGGCGAAGCCAAAGCCCAAAACCGCAACCAAGCAGACCACAAACCGCACTGCGCGGAAGCGGCGGGCTACTCCTTGATGCCTTGTTTGTTGATCAGCTGACCCGATTCGAAATTCAATCTTTAGCCTCTGCGGCACCAAGCCCGCAATGCGGATTGAGGTTGATGTCACGCATTGTAGGCACAGCCGTTGGCCAGGCAGGAAAATGCTGCAGCGCAGCACGCATCTTGGGGGCGATTTGCAAGTTGGATGGGTGTCAGTCAAAGTTTGAGTGAGTCAGTGGCGCCCAGCAGTCGTTTGCTTTTGGGGTTCAGTGTGTTCTGGGCGGCCATGCTTGACGTCTACAATTGTAATTTTGGGGTAGCCCCCCCCCCCCACAACGCTTCGCAGTGACCGTGCTTCTAAATACTCATGTTACATGGTCTCGCAACGGCGCCAATGCCCAAGTGCTTCTGCTTCGTGTTTTAGGAGACCTGGCTTGTTGGACCTGTTCATGCCTTGCGCGCCTGAAGCACGATGCGTAAACTGCACCATGAAGGTTCACGCGCATGGTTTTGCGCGAAGCTGCCCTGTACGAAACAAACGGCTTTTGGGGTGCATTTTTGGAAGAAGCACAACAAAAATCCACAATGAATCGGGTGGTCTTGCAAACACTGCAGAGTCTTGAGTCTTGCGTGTGCTTATTGGCTCAGCAAGTTCTTAATCCCTAAGCACACTTGGAAACGTTGCGTCCATTACTCAAACCATGTTGGGTGGGGCTGGAGCTCACCACAAAAACTCTAGGCCACGCATTGGCAACATTCTAGGGCAGCCATTGATCTGGTTTAGCCTGTTGCGGTTCTTCACGTTGCTTCTTGCCCAAAAAGCTGCAACCTGGCCAAGTGATGTGTCAACTTCATTGCGCGTGTGCGCCAGCGAAACCGCATTTGGCCACCCTGCCTCCCCCGTGCTTTAAGATAACTCACGGGATTCCATACCGGGGAGTCTAGTTCGCCACAGAGTGGACATTGACTTGTCACTGCTGAGCCACTTTTCGTGCGCGGAAGGGGGTAAACAAGACACACAACGAGGTCACCAGCGCGCTCTAGTGCCATCCGCTCTCACAGCATATCTTCTCCATGTAATCTGCAACGCCCGCCTAAAAGGCCAACATATCCTCAACCTACAACAACGTATCCCCAAGTAAGGAAGCCTTTCTCATTGAGCGACATCGGTCACATGTCTTTTTGTAAGGGCGTGATGTCAATCACATGCGCGCGCGTCCCAAAAAGGAGGAACGCTTAAAAATTGAAACAGGGTGGCTCCTCCATTCAAAGCAGCCCCACAAAGAGTGTCAAGCAGAAACATGCACTCATTTATCTGTTTCGATTTTTGAATATGTCCAAAAACGGAAATATGGATCCCCAAGTGCAGGATCTCCAGCTCGGTTTACCCCCAGACGAGCTTGCCCTAAAACATACAAATGTATGTTTCGCACAGCTTTCACCCAAAACCGGCACGTCATCCGAAGGCGATCTTAGGCTCCCCGGCAGCCCCAGCCAAACCAGCACGCCAGCCTTGATGCAGCCACGCAATTCCGGAGGGTGAGATTCAACTGGCTCAGTTGCTTCAAAGGATGGCGAGCAGTCCCAAGAGAAGCTTACCTACTGTGGATGGGCAAGTCCTGCACAACGTGAAAACCTCCCATGGTTGAAACCATTGTTTGTTGATATATACAGGGGAATCGAATCATTCCAGGGGTTTTTGGGTGGTGCAGGATTTTGCCCACAGTATGGGACCACAAGTCGCCAGAAATTGGAACGCCAAGCGGTGAAGCCGATTTGTTTGGACTGGGTGCAACGGGCTTTTCCAAGCCCTTGGCATCATGCGATGTACTGGTTACTTGCCACCCCTAAGTGGAACAGTTTTATTATAGTGCGTTGGAACTGTGCCCCGACATAGCCAGTCAAAATGAAGGGCATGCACATGGGCGCTCCTGCATGCTCGAGCCAACTTGGATGAACACCAAACCCCTGATTGCTGCCAGAGCTTGTCATGCAAACACCTGCATGCAGACCGAAAGTAGCGGAGCGCATGTTGCAGTAGTAGTCATAGCCGCGCAACTGCTGACGATCACAGCGTTGAGAAAGCAAGCCCATTTGGTGTCGTTTCGAAATCGAGGCGAGCCTTCAAACATGGTAGTGCCCCTGAATCTTAGGCAGCCGCGAAAAAGGTTCCTCAATACAAACCCATTCGGAAGATCCAGACAAATGCATCATGAGTGCCATGCGTGAACCTGCGCGAGCCGGTCCTGGCCACCTCTTGGACCCAGCCCAAAGGCTGATGTTCCACCCCCCCCCCCCCAAAAAGAAGAGAGACTTGGAACATAAGGGTGGCCTCAAAAACGACTCACCATTGATTAATTACGGGCCCCTGAATGGCTTGCAACAATTCCCTTCAGCTAGAACACGGCTTGGATGTGGCTTTTGTAGATCCACCCCTGTAAGATATTGACAGGGTACTTTAAAAGATCACTAAAAACGAACTAGGGGGAAGAACACGTGTGGTGAAATCCACCAAAACCGCAACGAAAACGAAACCGTTTTCTAGACCTGGGGCCATGTCCACGTTTGACAACCTGGGGGTCTGGCTGGCCAGAAGAAGAAGTAGGAGGTAAAGAGTAGCTCCGAGAAAACCTCGCAAGGTGCAAGGTGTCGGTCCTGTCTTTCCGGGATCTGAGTAGAACCTGTCCTAATGTAACCGAGGGGGCAAGGGGAGGGGGGGGACCCTCCCAAAATTGGTCTGCATCCCTGAAACTGAACCCCAGGGACACCGCCCTGGAACAAAAATGGACGGATTTGTACAAATCCGGGGCGAAGCTACCCCAATTGAACAGCATCAGATTGGCTGCGATCAGCTTTTCGCGGCTGGTTTGGAAGGATGCTTTTTTTTTCGCCTTTCTTGTGCAAGAGCCAGGGGTTCAAAGCCCCTAGCCACCATTGAGGGGCTGCTTGGTACCCGGCATGTTTACCCTTTTAACTCCATCCACGGGAACGGACCACACATCTTGGCCGGAGCATTGGGGCCAAGAACATGGAGCTGAAGCTCAGGAATCCGACACGGGATGCCCACTAACTGGCATTTCTCTAGAACGGGTGTGAACCTCAGACGGGCCTCCAAGCAAAAATTGGTTGGCCTCGAGTGGCGCAGCCCGCCCTGCGATGTTTTGCCAGGAGGCAGATTCGGCGTGTCAGCCTTGCTTTGCTGCTTGTGACAACCCTGATGCTTGGTTGCTATTCTGCCAAGGTGAATAACTTGTTGTGGGCGCAATTCGGAAAACCGACTTGATTTCAACCAACAAGTTAAAGTCTAAAGACCCGTTACGCCATAGCAATCAAGGATGGAGAGCAGGTGCAAACTGCAGGTGCTCAGTAGGGAATGGCCCAGGGTGTTGGGAATGAACTCAGGGATCCCCTTAAAGGAAACCAAAGGGATGGTTTATAGCTGTGATTCCAACTCACCCGAACCAGCCAGCAATCCCGCGTTGCAAACCCTTCGAAAGCTGAGAGGGCCTAGGAAGTCAGGGTGGATGTCCAGAAGCCTTCTGCCCAGACGGAGCTCCACTGCCACTTGGCTGGCCCGACTCTGTCATTCGGGTGTCTCGTGTTTGAAAGGGGTCCGACCATTTTGGTAGGCTTCAAAACGACAAGCCCAAGTACCACCACCATATGTTTTTGTTTTGTTTTTTTTGGGGGGGGTCTCCCAAAAAACGACCCACCCATTTTAAGGGACACCACAAATTGCTCTTCAGCACCTGCCGAAGATCGATGCCCCGAATCCCCGAGAGAGCGACGCCTGAAGAGCGTTGCCTGGAAAGGTCGTCTGCCTTGGGAACCGCACCTGGCGCTGGTGTGTACCCTGCCTGAACGGATAAAGGCGACTTGTTGGGGGCACAAGTTCATGTAAATGCGCCCACGCGCAAAATATATATAGACAATATTATATATAGATATGTATATATATATATATATATTATACTTGTCTGTTCACATATAGCTACATATCTATGTATGTATACACATCACCTGAACCAAAAACACGATGGATGCGCTTGCGGGAAACATACGTGCAAACAAGGGACTCGTGGGCGGGTTAGGGAAAGAGCACAGCACAATTTCACATTACAACCTGCCACCCTGTATCATACCACTGCAAACCAAACATGAACACTTGCCACCTCATGAGCCGCATGAACAAACCAAAATGACTATGTATGCCATGTTAAAGACGTGGTAGCCGAGGTGGATCGACAAACTTCAACTTGGCACCTACCCCAAATATCGGACACGCTTTCTGGAAGAAGTTGCGAATGTTTGCTCAACATGATTCAGCCACAAACCAAACTAACAAGTCCTACTCCTCCTTCTCATCATCATCATCCTCACCCTCTCCCTCAGCTTCTCTCCTCCTCATCCTCAGCCTGAGCCTCCGCCTCATCCTGATCATCATCATCGTCATCATCATCATTGCGTTGAATCCAATGAGTCCACTCCCGTCAACTAGCCCCTCCGGCCCCCACCCGCCTCCACGCTCCCAGGCGGTGAGGCCAGCGGCTTAGGTGCTGTGTACATCCCGCTCGGCTTCGAGGCACTGACTGAGCCGATCACCGGATCGCAGGGCGCAGATTGGTTCACATCCGGTGCCATGCCCTGATGTAACTGATCTGCACATATGCCCTCTTTAGATAGGAATGCCCATGTGCCATCCTAAAGCAACAGGAGTGCACGTTTAACCCATCAGGCTTGAAATGTCAGTGTGAAAGCAGCAAAGCTCATCTTGCTGCAACCAGCCCCGCCGAAACCAACCAGCACTCGCCACGGATATTTTCCTCGGGCGAAACGCTCAAGGCCAGAAACTGGTTGCACCTAACTGAGCCGCGATCCCTTTCATAAACGAAAGGGAGAAAGAGCCGCGAATTCAATCCAGGCAAGTGCCCACTTTGGCAAGCAAAGGTATCCATTCTTGCCGCGTTGCTTCTCGGCAAAAGGTCATTGGCACGTGTGTTTTGCCCAGATTTAGTGCAAATATCGAATTGGAGTAGTATACCAGGCATCCAAATCTTGAATTCAGGGGCCATCACCCCTCTCTGGTGCGCTGTTACCCTATTGTCACCCGCGAAACCTTCCAATGGACGGTATCCTGTCTTTCCGCTAAAACATGCACACCCCTATCCACTCAAAACAAAACCATGCAAGGATTCAACAAGCAGGGAGGCAATCCTTAAAGCCCTTTTCAAGCGTAACTTCTTTGGCAGTTGCAATCCCGAAAGCTCAGTCATCATCAGTCATCAGTTCCGAAAACCCCAATTCATGGCACACAAGGCCATGCCTGGCAAAAGCTTGGGGGCCAGCCATGCATCCCCACTTACTTTGGTAGCAAACAATAATCTCAAATTTCTTGTCTCTCCATGCAACAATACCCCCCCCCGCAACAAAAGGCACAAAAACAGTCTAAAGTTGCATTTGACTGGCAGGTTGCAACACGGCTGCCACGATTGGAGGTCCACACCTCACTTGCCCAAAGTTTTGGGACCATAAAATGGACCAAACAGGGAAAACCAAAAGGTCAACAGGTCGGCTTGGAACTGAGAAACAGCTCAGGGACTGAGACAACCTTAATCGCGCGCCGGTTTGGAGGGGCTCGGACCGCACTCAGCGGAAGCGGCTCCCGTGGGCGCCGTACGCGGAGCTCCGGCGGTGGCAGCCGCTGGTGCGGCGGAGCCAACCCACCAAGCCCTCGCCTTGGTGAGAAACTGTGACTGACTCTATTTTTGGGGGGAATGACCAACCATTTTGGGAGGGTCATGGAGACTCTAGGTGTGGATGATGAACAAAATCCATACGCACCACCGTTCTAACTTCCTGGAATGATTCGAGTTCCCGTGCAAATGTCAAGAAACAATGGTTTCAACCATGGCTTTCAAGTTGTGCGGATTTCGTCCATCCACAGAATGATTCTTCGAGAAATATTGGGAAACATGTAAGATATTTCTGGCTTGCGACATGGAAAGAATGGTACGAGGGATGCCTCTGCCATATATTGTAAGCAAAATCTGGGAACCCTCTAATTCAGCGATCCACCCACCCGCCACCCACCCACCCACCCACCCACCCGCCCGCCCGCCCGCCCGCCCGCCCGCCCGCCCGCCCGCCCGCCCGCCCGCCCGCCCACCGATGGTGTTGTTGTGTGTGTGTGTGTGTGTGTGTGTGTGTGTGTGTGTGTGTGTGTGTGTGTGTGTGTGTGTGTGTGTGTGTGTGTGTGTGTGTGTGTGTGTGTGTGTGTGTGTGTGTGTGTGTGTGTGTGTGTGTGTGTGTGTGTGTGTGTGTGTGTGTGTGTGTGTGTGTGTGTGTGTGTGTGTGTGTGTGTGTGTGTGTGTGTGTGTGTGTGTGTGTGTGTGTGTGTGTGTGTGTGTGTGTGTGTGTGTGTGTGTGTGTGTGTGTGTGTGTGTGTGTGTGTGTGTGTGTGTGTGCGCTTGGTTTACTTGCCATACATAGCATCCACGGATTCCCATCATGACTTGCCACCTTTTCAAAGGGCAAAACCGTGGGCTTACCTCTGGGCAGAACCACCCAGGGATGGCGCAGAAAGGAGGCGGTGCTACAAAATGAGGGTCCTCTACACGTGGATTGTGTGATGAAGTTCCGTGCTCTCCAAACAGATTGTTGAACAAATAAGGGATCTCCAACATCTACGGACTCAAACATACAGCCTTCGCGTACCTACTGCCACGTCGTTCTCTACAACTACATATTTCTATATGTATACATAAATTATACAAATGCGTGCGCGCATGTACCAGCAGTGTATTTGTAGTGCATATCAGAAGCACCTGCCCGGGTACGTGGCGAGTCTTGTGCAAGTGGCCATCTTGAGGACCCATCGTGCACCCATATTTTTGCGGAAGGCAAGCCCAAAAAGGGAGGTGCAGAAACAACCATAGCCAACCAAGGGTGCTTCGTCAAGCATTTTGAAGTCCAAACAAGTTCCTGGAAAGGGTTTCTGAAACTAATCATGTCATATGTTACCGTGCTCCCCACCTCATTTGGACGACGGCTGTCAAAACAAGCGCTTCTCACACGCAAAATCAGCAACAAAAAACACAACAGGAAACACATCCTGTCCGCGTTACGGACACTGCGTCGTCCCTTAAAAGGGGCTTGCTCTATTTTCTGGGCGCCCCCGTTTTCCAAACAAATAGTCTAGCTAGAAGTTTGTGCGTGCGCCTCTTTTTCGGGAACCTTTTTGGGCGCCGTCAAGCAGAAAGCAACCAGTTTGAGGCCCAATCTTGGGGCAATCTAATTGGGAAATCACACCCATGTGGATATAGAATTTTGTCCTACGGCTTCCCCATCCTTCCCACCCTTCCCACCCTTCCCACCCACTGCAGGTGCGCCTGCGCGCGTGTGCCCACGCCTGCGTGCACACGTGCGTGTTTGCGCGCATGTGTGCGTGTGCCCGCGCGTGCGTGCGTGCTTGCGTGCGGCACACGGCGCACACCCACGGCAATCGTGGAACAATCCAGAAAGAACATATTGTGCGCAATGGTTTTCCGCACAGTGGCAGCGGCAACCCTGCTCATTTGATCGCAAACATGCCCGCTATGTCCGCCGACCACCAAAACCTACTCTCAGATCTCTCAGGGGCCCATTTTCTGCGCGATGCAAGGGACGCAAGGGATGCGGAAAAGCCCGCATGCTGGTGATGCAGGAATTGTGCTGGTGAAGTTGGCGAGGATGTCGGGGATGTTTTGCGAGCGCAAGGCCAGGGATGTCGGGGATGTTCTGGGATCCACATGTCTGGAGGAGCTTCTGGTGCAACAAAACACGTCAGCAGTACACCCTACGGGTGGGGTTGCCCGCGCTCTTCGAGCTCGAAGACACACAGCGCGCAGTTGGATTGGGACTCCTGCGTGGACATTGTTGTTGAGGGGACTTGTGTCCACCAACTGTGTGAGAGGGTGTTGCACCAATTACGGCTCATAGCCATTTGAGTGGGAACCAAGGCAGGAAATAACGCGGCCAACCCAACGCCATTTCAAAAGTTGAAAGGGCAGCAGCCATTTAAGCTTGGGGGACAGCACATGGCATTTACTCACTTTGGCTCATTTTCCCACTGTCTTACCGCCGTAAGGAACTGTGCCACCTAATTATCTTCACCTACTTCCTCCCTGCGCACAGATTCAGCTGGCCTGGTTTTCATACCTCAGCTTCTGCCCTTCACCAAACACATGATTCTTAGATTCTCCTTGTTCAGCCAACCTTACATTTCCAATATCATCTCAAAAAGATCTCGGACTTGAACGTGAAAACCAGTGTTGCTCCGAAATTCTTGATCGGCACAAGGGCAAACTCAGTTGCCCAAAGGACGAATAAATACAAGGTTGACCTTTTGGGGCCATGACTGACAATGGCCGTGGAAAACAGGCACCCAAAATGGAACCCTGGCAAATGGAACCAAGGGCTAAGACCTTCAATCCTTCCGGACCCCATACCCAAATGCACCAAAAAAAAGTGACCCAGTGGCGCTCCATGACCGGCGCCAGCCCAGCCGCGCCGTGCGCTCCATGCACGCCATGCGTCGGCATGGGGGACACGGGGTAGATGGGCGAAGGCCACGGGGAGCTCCGATCGAAGCCCACGGCGCCCCGAGTGCTGAGCCCGGGGCTCTCCTCGGAACCCATGCGACGTGCCCGGCGCCGGGCAAAGTCCGTGTATCCTTCGTTCACACGTGCTTCGATGTCAATTCAGCTATTCTTGAATGCTTTGCTGTGTGGTTAAACGTTGGTTGTTGTGCAAAGAAAACTCCATTGACAATGACATCCTGCGTAAACATGTTCACAATATGAAACGAAAAAACAACAGATTATTCAAAAGTCCAGATTCGATTTCTCGAGGTGTCTTTGGTTCTTAGTTTGGGCAGGATTGATCCAATGGAAAGATTGCCTGAGAATTGTGTTTGTATTGTTGTTTGTTTTGCTTTGTTGGTTTTCTTGTGTTTTGGTTCTGTTTTGGAGCACTGGAATGTTTTAGAACAGCTAACACAAGAGACATTCTGAAAAAAACAAAAAAAACAAAAACAATCAAACATTAAATAGGTCCACAAACACGTAAATGCACTGCCACACCTTTCTGTTCTGTTTACGAAAGGGGCCGCGCACCCACGTAGCGCAAAACAGGGACCTTGCACTGCTCGACGAAAAGATTTATCCGGAATTTGGCGAGTTTGCATGGGACACGTTGGTACTGTCCAGCTTGATGTGCTTCCACTCCTGCAATGGAACTCGAAACAGGCAAACTCATTAATGGACCTGTGATCGGACCAATTTGGTGTTAATTTGTCCTAAAACTATAGGGCGACCCCGGCGACTTCCAGAAAATGTGGGTGTCCTGTTTCCCTTCAAAACTTGCCGGGGCCCAGACAAAACTCACCAATGACCAAAAAGGGCTGGCTGCCCCACCAAACAGCGACACCAGTTCCCACGGGCAAAACACCCAAACCATCCCGAAAAGCGCTCCTGACCACGGAAACACCGAAACAGGCACTAAAATCACCCTACCCAGATCCGTCATTGGATCGTCCAAGTCTCCAAGAACTCGCGGCGCGGAGCCGGCGGCACCCCACAGCCGTCGCGGACCTCGCGCACGACAAGTGCCCCGAGCCACTTGGGTGTCTGTTTTCGGGTACCCCCGCATTATTGGTTTCGGTGTTCCTTTTTTGGTTTCCCTTTCAAAAAAGAGGCGCCCTCCAAAAATACATCTTTTTTTGCTCTTCGCACTTTAGCCAGTGCTTGGTACTGTAGGTAGCCTGGATTTTTGCCTTTAGGTTTTCAATGAACCAGGCGGAACCCTAGAAAATGCAAATGCCGAGTTGCCTAGATTGCTAGCTGGAAGTGATGGCCCAGCTGCTCAGTGACGATGGTTTCAAAAGAAACCCCTTTCAGGGGTTGACAATTTTTAGTGGGGGTAGGAAACAAAAAGGGAACTGTGGCGCGAGGCTATGGAACGGGCACGTTGTTGACATGCTGCTGGCTGAAATGAAAAAGTAGGAGGCGGCTTTCAATTTTGTTCTGGTGACGCTCCAGACCGAACGCATGAGCGTGCACAGGAGCTCTCCGTGCGCGTGCAAGTGTTGCTCCTCATTGCGTAAGCTGGCGCAAAGGGGAAAACACGATCAGAACACCATGACGGACTGCACTATGGCAGGCTGCACTCTACCTACCACAGAACGCGCCTAGAGGTAAATCACAAGTTTCTACCAAATACCGAGCCTCAAAACCAGACATACATCGCTTAGATCATTCCACCTCACCCCCAACTGCAAGAGATGTACACCAAGTGAGTGTAACCAAGGCTAAGAGCAGCTTCTTACAAGAATTTCGAGTCATGGGAAACAAAACAATGTGGCCATGGGTCAAAATCCCGCACCCCCCAGTGAACATCCGAATCCCCACTAAAATAGGTTCTAAAATGGGTGGTGATTTCACCTACCCCAAAATGGTACCATTGGTGTTGACCCACAGCCACGTGTGAAACGGAGGCCGGGCATTGCCGCTTTGGACCTCCCTCTCCCGCCTGTGGCGAGGCGGCGGCCGCCGCGTAGTAGCGGGCGCGGCGCAGGGAGGTGGCATCTTGCAGGGCGCGGTCCTGCGCCTCCTCGATCCGAAGCGATGGCCCTGGGGGCACTGGGCCGGCCGGCCCCCTGCGAGTTCATGTGCCACACATCAAATCTTACCTGAGCGGATGGCCCCAAAAAAAGTCTAAACTTTTAGATTTAACACTAACATGGTCTTCCCAAAAAGTTCAAAGTTCATGAAGCCAGGAAGTGAGTCTTTGAGCTTTAGAGGAACCTCCATTTCGGCAGCTACCCCGGGTTATGTCCCTTGAAGTGCAAAAATCCCTCATACTCCCTCTGGCGCCACCCGCTTTTTGCAGGGCGCCGAAGCACTCTCTATGGTACCCTCCGGCTGTGCCTACTCCCGGTCCTGAGTGGACCGCTCCACCGCTGCGGTGTAGCCTCGCTGCGGAGATCGCGACAGGTAAAAGATGCGTCTGGAAAACATCTGGCCTGCGTAAACCGTTAGTTCCTAATATTGCATTTCAAGAACATGTTGGTTGACTAGGTCCTCCAGTAGAGAGCTTAGAATAAGGGTACCCCTTTTCACGTAGTCTATTTTAGTAGGGGAACCCTCCACCAAGAAAGGGTAAAAGGGCACTACTGTGGGACCTAGTTGCAAAAGACGCAAGTACAGCTAAAGGGTTGGCGGTCAAAGGAATCCTGGGAAAACCACGATGTTGACAAGCGGTGTGGCCAAATGGTGTCAGCTGTCGAGCACGCGGCCTCGCTTGACATTCTGAGTTCTTTTTGGCAAGGGCCGTCGACCACATGGCATGTTGCCGGCAAGAACGTGAGTGACCAAGGGCCCATTTGTTTGGCAAAAGAACCTGGCAATGTTTTTACTGTTTGTCTTTGCAGGATTCAACTAGGGCCACCAGATTGAAAGCAGAAAGGGCACAAACAACTGCAGATTGACGCCAGGAGTCCGTTTTGGTGCCTCCAACTAGTAATCTTTGGAATTCGAGGGGCTGGCTTTCTTTACGAATATCGGTTCCCCACATCTCCTTTTGGCGGCAAGGACGTCTGAAGGGACAACACCTGGACCTCCGGCTACAAACGCTCAACTTCCACCGGGCCGCCGCTCACCGCAAAGGCCACTGCGGCATTTGCCGCCACCTGCGGGTCTGAAAGGGGGGGATCCAAAGGCCAAAGACTCCAAATTGTTGGGCCACAAAGGGTGTTTTCCTGTGACACATATCCGACTGGGTCTGGGCGAATTGTATTTCACCAACCTTTCTCCATAAAATGATTGTCCTCAACTTCATGCAAGGCCGCGGGGATCACGCCAAATGCTTCTGAACTGGCAATCCACCAAGTGGGAATCTTGCAAAAGCCTCAAGCGCCCGCGGGGGGGGGGGGGTTCAAGGCCCTTGACTGTGCAATGAAACATTGCAAAGGTTGTTCAATCGAGCATGCCGTTGCTCCCCCCCACAGGTGCATGCTCAATCTACTCCATGGCAGCTAGTTCAGCACAATACGGGCCTAAACAAATAAGCTGTTGCTATCTGTTGCTGGTTTGGCGCCAAATCCAGTGAGGACCATAGAAGCAAACTGTTGCTGATTGCGTAGCCACTCAACGGAAGCGAACGGAGCTACATCCTAGGAATCATTCGCAACCTTAGATACTCCCCCCCCCCCCGCCCCCCCTGCAGATTAACATGAAGCCCAAAAACCCGGCAGTAGAGAAAACTCCTTTTGGGGGACCCCCACTTTTGGGTTCCATCTTTTGTTGCCTTTGGAGTACCATCTTCGTCCCCTATCATTCATCTTTGGAAGGAAACCTTTTGGTGGTGTTGAAACCACCCACACAGAAGACCACACAGTTGCGGGGTCCCCTACACCTCCATTTGCTTAAGCCCCCTGGAAAAAAACACATATTTCCAGTAGCGATAGATTGCCTTTAAAACCAAAGGGACAAATAAACATACCTAGAAAAAGACTCCCTAAAGAAACCACCCAGACGCCCCCTACAAGAAGACTACGCCCTCGTCCACCCCCGCTGGCTGCGCCTTGGTGGCCCCCAGCACCGGCCGCGCCGCCGCCGCCAGCAGCCGCGCCGCGCCGAAGGCGCCGACCACGGCGCCGCGGCCCAGGGCCGCGGCGAGCTGCGCCGCGTCGAAGTGCTCCGCGGAGGCTGCGGCGAAGGCCGCGACGTCGCGGAGGCCGCTGCCTCGGGGGCTCGGGGGGGGGGGGGGAAGCGGGGGGGTTTTTGGGGACCCGCTGGCCCCCTACACTTGGCACACATCTGGGGGAACACAGAAAGTCACATTTTCTGACTCTAGTCCATGCAGATTCCTTTCGCGGCCCACGGTTTTCCTTTCGCTGAGCCATTATAACTTAAGACTCGCAATTCGGAACAGCCCCAGAATGATTAGTCTACCCGAAAATAGATATACAGGTTTCTGGAGGAGACCCCAGCAAAAATAATTAAATAGCCGTATCTGTTTTAACAGCATGTAGCTGCCCCCTAACGTACATGTCTATAGTAGGAGAGGCGGATTGCCAAGGGTAATAACGGACCTTGCAAGTCAACATGTAGCCCGAAAGGGGTGTTCCCCAAAAGGAGGTTCCTCCAGAACCCCAAAACAAAAAAAAACCTAAAGTCTTTAAATTAGTAACTTTACAAATATGCTCCATACTACTTTACATCCAGAAATTTGGCATTGTTGAAGATTCCATGCTAATGTCAGGAAAGTGAGTGTTTGGGGTATCCCTGGACTACAGGCAGTGCCCATAGCCTTTGCTCTTGGGGAAACCGCCTCCCTATAATCTGTTGATTGATCCTTCGGCATGTCACTCCGTCTCTGTACGAGCGCTGTTTCTGAGGGTTCGCGCTAGCAAAACTGGGCAATGTTTGCTGCCTCCACTTTGGCTTCAAGAATTGCACAGAGTAAGATTCCGGTCCTTGAGCTAATCTGATTGCAAACGATTTCCTAGAAAATGTGATGTTGAAACCCACCAGTTGGAGAACTATAGGGATCCCGTGTGGGATCCATGAACCCGCCTGAGCAGCCATTGCAACTTGTCAGCTGCCGAGGTGCGTGAAGACATCGCCGAGAAGCCCAACTTCTGCTCCATTTCCTGCCATGGGAAGTGACAGCGGACCACGGAGCTCAGGCGTCCATTTTGGAAGGAATGGAGACCCAGAATGTACCCAGACCCATACTGAGAGCGCTGGAAGCGCATCCCTGGCGTTTGCAACACCAAGAGTCCATGCATGTGAAAAATGAGATCGCTGACAATGATTGCGTGCATTCCAGCCTTGGCTTCATTTTGCCCAGCTGTTGAATGAAAGTCCCACTTCGTCTAGCTAGGTGCGGCGAGGTGCAGCGAAAAAGCCTTTAGCAAGGCAAGGCAATTTGGCCATGGATCAAAAGCCCGTACCTCCAGTGAACATCCCAATCCCCACTAAAATCGGCTAAAATGGGTGGTGCACCTACCCAAAATCGCACCATTAGTTTTGACCCACGGCCATTTGACTCCATGTGGCGTCGAAATTGCAATGCCCTGGCACAGGCTCGCCAATGAAACACACATCAACAAGCCGGCAAGCTGCATTCGAGTCACACTTGCGACAAGCAACATGTGTCAAATGACAGCTTACCGCGTGCCCTGCACGATTGCTAGCGCGATTGTTCCCGCCACCCCCCAACTAAGGTTGCCTTTTTGAATGCACAAACTGTGCCCCTTGCAACATTGCGACATTGCAACACCTACCCACCCCCAACCAACAAACCAAACAAAGCCAAATCAGCACGAAATGGGTGGGTCCTTTTTGTTTAAAGCTATAAAGGGAAACAAATGGAAACCAACCATATAGGGGGGTGCCCAATTCCAATATAACCCCCAGTGCAACCCCACCAACTTCCATTTGTTTTTTTGGTGGAAAGAATATAAAACAATCCAGTAGTGATAAGTTCTCTTTAAACCAACAAGGGAAAATAAGCAATCAAACACTGTTTAATTTCAGCAAATGGAAGCCAACATTAAGTATCTGGGTTTGTCTCCAGGACCCGCCACCACTTTGGGGGGAACATACGGTGTAAGTTAGTCAGTAACCTGGCTTCTAACCCACTGACAAGCCTCCTTAAGTAGTCATCACAACGGGCCCCACAGTAGTGGGTTGTAACCCAGGTGGCGTTGGCCACTCACTAACTTGGCGAATCGAAGATTCCAGCAACGGAACCTCAAAGTGGCGGTGTTCAGGGGAACATACAGGAACCCCGGAACCCCCAAATCTGTTTCTCAGATCATCTGTGAAAAATGACTTACTTTTGGTGGCTTAAATTTTGAAACCCCCACCCACTAAACCAAAGATATCTAAAAATGCTAAGGAACCGGATGGCTGGGCTTGCCAAAAAGGAAACCAGTTCCGAACTACAACTAAAACACAAAAAAAAGCAGGATGACTACTTTGCCATGCCCCTTTCTTCTTTGTTTTGGAGGTATGGCTGGGCACATCCAAGGGGGTGCCTCCAAAAGTGGTCTGAATCCCCACTAAAAGGGGACACCCCCCATTCAAATTTCACCACGGTTTATTTTGCCGGGCCAAAATGCCACCAGGGGACCGCAGGTTTTAGTCTTTGGCTCCCTTTACCAGGGCTCCATTTGGGGGTTACCCGATTTTCGACCCATGGCCAAATCGCCATGGGTCAAAAAAAATCGTACCGTACCCCCCTACTAACATGGACCAACATGGGTGGTGCACCTACCCCAGAATGGCATCATTGGTTTTGACCCATAGCCAAATTGGCTTCGCCCACGAAGCCCCGCCAGCCGCCTCCAGTGCCGCGCTCTTCTCCTCGAGGCTCCGCTGCCAGCGGCTCAGCTCGCGGCGCTTCTCCGCCAAGCGCTGAGCGAAGTCCAGGCCTCGAACGGGGCCTTTGGGGCGGGGGTGCCATGGACACCTGGAGTCTATTGCCACCAAGAACCCCCCCCAAAAAAAAGAGAAGAAGATATCTTCAAAGAAGGAGGTTGCAAAATAGACCCGGAGTGTCCACCATACGGGGGGGGGGGTTTTGGGCGGGCGGCGCTTTTGGGGGTTCTGTGGCACGGTTCCCCTTTTTGTTCTTCTTTTCGTTTCGGTGGCTCTCAAAGCTTCGTTTTTTTTTTTTAAGTGGGGGGGGGGGGGGGTTGAGGGATTTGTGACTTGTGTTTGTTGTTTGTTCCTTTTTGTTTGGGTGGGGGGGGGAAGGAACACAACCGTTCTTTGAGGTGGTTCCCGTTTTTTGTGTTGAGGGGGGAGGGGAGAGGGGGAGGTGTAACTTACTGGAAATCATCCCTTCCTGGGTGGTCACGGAAAGTCTTTCCTAAGTGGTTTGTGGGGCTTTCCTGTCTGGACGCGATTTCATGTGTTCTCTCAAAACGTCCCCTTACTACCGCTAAGCATGGTGCAAAACCTGCCTAAAGCTACTTCAGCTTTTAGCCCACAGAATGTCATCCTAACATTCTGGTCCACATATATTGAACCTGGCAAATGGTGTCCTAGAAAAGCTTTCCTGCCTCGTGCTCGGAACCACCCAAAAGGTGCGGGATCAGATTGCCCGGCTTCGCTTCTAGTGACAGGCCGCCACTCTGCAGGTTGCTTACCGACTATTTCACCCATGGTGTTTGTCGCATTTTCGGTTCCTATGAACTACGAATGGGGGGGGGATAACAAGGACAAAGCATGAGAATGTACTAGGCGCATGTGCTGTTGGCTCACTTGCACAATGTCCGAAAATAATCTCTCACACGGGATTGGCTTCTTCAACTCACTGCTGCCAAAGGCAGTACTTTCCAAGGTGGACTTTTAATTTAACTTTTCAGGGGCACTGGTTGGAACTGAAAGGCCGGCGTTGAGCAACTGATTCACGGGCCCTGCCACGGCAAGAGGATTGGCTTGGAGCCACCTGTGACTTGTGCGCATACTCTACCGTCAACAACCCAGCCGCCCCTCTCCCCGCTACCCACAGCCCCGCCCGCAACAAGAAAAAGTGCCAGTGGCAGCCTCAAAAACGTAGGGTGTCCTTGAGAACAAAATCCATGGCCCCGGCACATGGAATGAAACCCAGTTAAACCAGTGCCGTAAAAAATATAAAAGGGACAAACCCATTCAAACCAGTGCCACAAAAACTTCAAAAGCGGACACCTAATACGTGTCACCCCCCCCAAACCGTGCGGCGCTTGCGCACCGCCGGAAAGCAAAGCACCGAGGCCCAGGCGTCCCTGTGGCTCCTTGGTGTCTTCGAACGTTGCCTCCTGACGTCCCAAGCGCTCGCTGGAAGCGAAAAATGGGCCGGTTTCTGGTCAAAAAATGGGGTGACCCCAGCCAGCAAAGGACTGCGGCCTGAAACTGGAAAAGAAAGGTCAGCTGTAAGCTGGCACGAGGCTGTACCGGAAAATGGGTTGAGGCCTGATCAAAAGCAGCCTAACCCCTTTTCAGACCCCTTGAAGGCTGTAAGCTGCCCCAACCAGCGTTTATGGTTAATTTGGCCTGGGTTAGGGCTAGCTGCTGTGGTGTGGCCTAGGGCTAGGAAAAGAGTGGGTTCTGGGTTGGTCTGGCTTTGGACTTTGGAATGGGGTCCAAAGGCATCGGCAGTTCTGAATTTTAGGATTGCTTTCGCTAAGGGCCCTTTTAGCAGGGGCCCCCCAATCCCAATAGGGACTGATAGCAACCGATAGGGTCGATTAGGGTCTAGCAGGGTTCATTTTGGGGACCATTTCCAGGGGGTCCCCTGAATGAAAAACCGCTGACCGTCATATATTTTTTGGCACGCACACACACATATACCAATATATATATATATATATGTGTGTGTGTGCGTGTGTGCGCGTATGTATGTACATTTGTTTGCATATGTACATATACACATAAGGGTGTGTGAATATCGCTCGCAGTGCTGAGTCAAGGGCGGATTGATTCCGGAATGGTAGGCTTGAACGTTGGGCTCGAAACTGCGGCGAGCAGCTGGGCCCTGTTGTTTGAGGGTGGGGGTGGGGTGCTAGGTTGAAAGGCTGGCGCCTTGGTTCACGTTGGAAGGGGAGCAAAAAATTAAAGATTAGCAGTTCAGTGGGGATTTCCCACTAAACAATAAGCAAAAATGTTTCCCAACAACAACCATGGCACGGGCTGAGGTAGCTCAAGATTGATTCACAATTCTATCAGGACAAATTTTCAAATCTCTTGCTAAAGCAGTTGAGCCATTCTTGCTTGAAGATGCCCGCGCATACAAACAAACAAACGGACGGATATTGACAAATGGGACGGCAGACGCACAAACAATGGAACAAGCACCTAAGCATGCAAACACGAAAGCAAACTGGCTAACATCTTCACTCGCCCCAAGAGCTCGAAATAGCAGGTTTGCCTGTTTGCAATCTTAACTAAACATGGACTAAATACATTCGGCCTGTGAACAGACCAATCAGAATCCTTAACCTTTTGGACATCTTGTCCAATTGGCCAACACTGGAAAACCAAAGGCAAGGTCCATTTGCTTTGCCACGCAAATGATCCCGCTGCCTCAAGCCCTGGAAGCTATGCAGAATTTGTGGACATGCCCGGGGTTGAGCGGTTCACGTTTCCCAAGCTGCGGGCCATCAAGATCCCCCCGCCCGCTACAAATGGAATTGGGGGAGGGGGGTGACCTCCGAGTACTCCCGCCCTAAACTTACCCTAAACGTAGCCTCAACCAACCTTCAACCACTGAATGCCTGAAACCAAACCTAAACTAAGCCCATCATGAATCCGCAGGCAAGCAAGCAAGCAACCAAGCAAGCAAGCAACAAACCTTCAACCCGCCCCTAAATACCCGAAACCAACTAAACCTAAGCTCATCCAACACCCACGCAAACCTTACCCTACACCACAAAAGAGGAAGAAAAAAAAAGGAGAAAAAAAAAACGCAACCTTGAGTCGTCCGCTCCTCTGCGGCCTGCACCCGCTGTTGCGCCTCTGCCGCCTCACGCTGCACCGCCTGCCACTTCCGCAGGTCCGCCTCACCGAGCGCCGAGGCGCCGTGCAGCGCCGTGCACGCGGGGCCGGGGGACGGGGGGCTTGCGGTGCCTTGACTCGGCCCCATGACCCACCTTGGTACAAAGAACCTTGGGAAAAGACCGTAGTTTGTCTGATTCTGTGGCAGGTTTTTTGTTTTACCCTACAAATATTTTTTGGAAGAGATGCCATGAGCTGGGGTGTCAGGTTCCTCTGAATGTTCGGCGTTGTAGTGTCAGGACCCTTGGCAAAGGCAAAATGAGGATGAGCTTCGCGTGGAAGACCAACGATACCCAAACGAAGGGCCCAAAGGATCAGGAACATAGAGGATATAGAGAGCTCCCACGCTGTTTTGAGCACAGTCCACAAGGAGGGAAGTTGGTCACTTGTCCGGCTGTTTTTGTTGGCGACCCTCGATTTGTTTCTCGGATTTTCTAATTTGAGCTCTTTTGGGTGTGGGTCAAGATGAGGAATTGGACCGCAGGTGTTCGTTGGCCAACCACTCATATATAAAGTTGCAGATGGTGCATCTTGAGAATCTATATTGATGCGTTAATATAAGGTAGCATCCGCAATCTGTGCAAATTCATCCTTGACGCTTTTGAACTCGGAAAACCAATTGGGGGCCAAGGCAAGCATCCATCACATATCCACAAAATGTCCGTTTCGGGGTTGGTTTTGAGCGGAGCCAGAAAAAAACCAATCGCTTTGGGCCTCTATTTCAAAACAGCATGTTGCGAAACGAGCAAGAGGTTGTAACATAATCCGAGCCATGAAGTCAACGAGCCTAGCTAGTGAGTTCCGGGTTGGGCTTTTTCACCGGGGCTGCTTCTTTTTGTCAGGGAAATGGAAGCAAGAGCGTCTCGATTTAACTCGATTTTATTTATTTTTTTGGTGGACAAATCACCTTGGCCTTGATGGTTTGGACCCCGGAAATGCGAGTGCGTCGGCCCTGTTTTTCTGCCGGTGCCAAAACCAGAAGAACCATGGGCCTGTGAGGCTGGCCAAAATGGGACTTCAGCCACTTGCCGGCAAAAGGCCCAGCAAAATCGATATCAACTCAGGGATTACCATGGAAAAAAGCGCGGTAGAAAAAGAAGCGAGAGTCCATCTGAAGCCCGCTCTCGTACGCGTACTGTTTTATGAGCCGCCCTGACATCCAGCCACAAGTGTCCAAACCCCTCCATTTGCAGATGCGTGAAACAATTCACATATTTCCAGTAGCGAGTGATAACCTGCCTTCAAAAACAAAAAGGGAAAATGTCAAGCATCTTAAGCAAACAGAAAAAGCTTAGTAGGTCAAGCCAGCTCTGGAGGCCTGTAGCCTTGAGTCGCTCGAATTTGACGCGTGCGTTTTGTTTTGTCTTCTCGTGGCGAGCCTGTCAAAACACGAATGTGTTGAAATTGGAGGCGGGTAGTTTTCCAAATTCTGGAGCCATTTAAAGGGAAGCCAGCATAGAATCAACCATTTGGAGGGCCCCTACTGCTTATCACAAATTAAATGCCGCGGAAGATTCGGGCCAACGAATCCTTAGCGGCCACTGTGGATGGGTCTCCACAGTTTGGTGACACCTTACTCTGTATCAAAGTATCGTTGGCTTCCGAACAAAAAATAAAGGTGAAGCAGCATCAGTCAGGGTAGCATTGCACCTTCAAATTCAATGTTCCCACAAAAAGGGAACCACTCTTTTTGTCCTGGCCGGGCTTTAATATTGGCATGCACCGGTTGTCTGCGCGTCAGCCCTCAGACTTCTCCCGTTAACGCACACCTCTGCGCACCACTTCTCGCCTCCGTGGCCGGCTGCTTGGGTGTCTCCTGCGCGTGTGACCGTTGGTCCCAGAGTCTCGGACAGCCAAAGTCCGCAAATTCTACAAAACCTGGAATAAGGATTGGTTGCTTTCTGCTCCCCTGCTAAAATTTTAGATTTTAGTTGTTTTAATGGAAAACCCATTAGCTCTCGGCCCGAGCCTCCCAGCGGTTGAGTTGGGTCAGCAGAAAGCGGGCACACCCTTGCCATGGATCCTCGCCTTTTTGGTCCCATCGATGTCAAGGTGGGCCAATCTGTTTCAGGGGTCTTCCAGCTTGGGGAAGTTCATGATGGCTGGCAGCACGGCTTCAGGGTTCCGGACGGTCGGCTTGTTTGCGTTGCACCACCGTGCTCGGCTGAGGAAGGTCGTTACTCTGTTTACAATCTGCAGGTGGACGTTCTTTTGCCTCTCTGGCACCTGACACGCACAGCCGACACCCAGGTATTCCGCATCGACCGTGACGCTTTTGCCTTCTCCCCTCATGTGGTTGAACTTTGTGCTGGCTTTGGGGGTATGGGCATCGGTGCCTCGCATCTGGGTGGACAGACCGTTTTGCGCGCCGACCACAACAATGTTGTCTGCAATCACCTGGCGGCCAACCATGCTCGTGTGTTGAAGCTTGATTTGAACCATCCTGCAGCAGCACAGCAGATACATCAGGCTTGCGGCAACACAGCCGCCACATTCATGCTCGGGTTTCCTTGCCAACCCTACTCCAGTCAGGGCAAGAGACTCGGGACACTTGATCCCCGAGCTCGAACCCTTTGGAGCGGGCTCCATGTCGCCTTCGTGCTCCAATGCCAAGCACTCATCTTCGAGCGCGTTGTCGCCGCAAGGCATCATCCAGATGTTCGCAAGGCTCTCAGCTCCTTCGCATCTGCCATGAACTTCGATCTACTTGAGGTGGAGCTTGATCTTTGCTCGCAATGGCCATGCAGGCGCCGACGTTGGTGGGCCTTGCTGTTGCCCAAGCAATGGCATTCCACGGGCCTCCATTCCTGGCCGCACTCCTCGCTCTTCACCAACATCGGATCCGTCATTGGCAACTGGCCTGCCTGGCCAGCCGATGAGGAAGCCTCGCTGCTCCTCGATTCTGTCGAGATCAACCGCTACACTGATCCATCCCTTGGCCACGACAAGAGGGAGCTCTCCCTTGACGACATCTCTCCCACCATCCTACACAGCTATGGCAACGCCCTCCAAGCCTGTCCTTGCTACTGCCGGCTTCAAGGATTCTCGGAAGCTAGCCTTGCTTCGAAAGGGCTTCGTGGCTTCTTCGTGCGGGCCAATCCATCTGGCTTGCCTCGCTTTCTGCACCACAAAGAGGCCGCTATCCTGTTGGGGGGTTCCATCCGACATTCAGTACGTGCTTCCGCCACGTGCTAACTTGGCGCTATTGGGGCTCATTGCCTCCCCTCTGCAGTCTACCTGGGTCTATGCGAGTCTCCTTGCCAACTTTGCTCAGGCCACCAACGCCATACAGCCCATCTCACCAAGGGCAGCTATTCAATCTCTACAGGATCGACTGCTTTGTCAATGGCGACTACAGCAACCACAGACGGCACCTGCCCACATCTCACTTACGGTCCATCGTTCTGATGGACCCGAGGTGTTTGCCACAACTTTTGCGACAGCAACAGCTGACTCTGTGATGCTAGCAGAGCGCATCCATACCGAATGGGGGTCCACGACCAAACTCACTCAACTGCACAACGAGCATTGCACCACAGCCGTTTGGACCCACCAACGACGCAAGAAGCAACGGATCCTTCCACCTACTCAACCGGTCGACATTTGCATCATCCATGAAGAAGTGTTGCACTGCACTACTGTTGCCGCTGGCAGCTTCCTGTTTGAGCCGTTGCGCCACCTCGGCATCTCTGCCAACTTCCTCTGGCACCACCAACTTGGGCTCATCGGAGCAGACACGCGGGTCTGGCTCCCCATTACAGTGTCCACTTTCTCGCCTCAAGCTCTTGGGGTTCAAGCCCAGCTTCGCCTTGCGCATGGTGGGCCCTCGAACAACCCCGGCCCTGGTCTTGCCGAGGACTTTCTTTGGCACATCTTGCAACAGATTGCTGGGAACCCTGTTGTATGTCTCCTTCATCCAGGTCTTGACGAGGCCATGCACACGCCTCCACACCACCAGCCCACACCTGCCACCTTCCAATCTCTCTCGGCCGCTATTTGCGCCCAGCACACACACTCTACCTGCCTCGTTGTCGGACTCTTCACTGGATCACGCTGGCCGGAGACTGTCAGTCCCTGGACCTACTACGACGGGCTTGGGCCCCACCTGATCAGTCAGGTGACGCAGCTAGCCTCTGATCTGACACGCCTCTTGGGCTCCACCTTCGGCGGGCTTCTCCTGGCCGACTCTCTTCGCCAGGACCTTCCTTGGACCTGTGGCACCATTGCCCTTGCACACGCACTGCATCTCATCACCAGTTGCGACTTGCCACAACCACATCAGATCGCGGGGATCCATCAGGAGCTTGTGCATGCACAGGGACCTGTCTCTTGTCCACTCGGTCTTGGTCCCACTAACACAACTGCCCTGCTTGCCACTCTGCTCACCACTCATGGCGTGCCAGCAAATCTTGCAGATGAACGGGCTCAGTCAGCCATCGGTCGCCTCGGCCTCAACGCGGTACAGCAGGCCAACACCCCAGCTACCATGTTTCGGCTTGTCCTGCCGTCTGAGCTCTCTGCTCATGTGCAAGCCCGCTCGCAGAGCCAATTCGGGGCAGCCATCTCCACGGACAAGAAGAAATCCAAAGGTAAAGGTGAGAGGCGTCCACGACCCACACCGGCTCAGCCTGACCCTGCTGATCTCAGCCTCTTCGCTGACTCCTTTGTCGATGCCAAACAGCTCGCAGTTCCACCTCTGCCCTTCCACGCCGTCACTGCTGACGCCCGTGGTGTCGCCATATGCACCGCACAACAGGCTCTTCCTTTCATCAAAGCAGGCAAGCGCATCAGCCCTGAGGCTCTTGCCCTGGTTGTCAATGAGCCAGTTGAGGCGCCAGTCGGGGCCGAAATTGCCCCTCTGATCTTCCCTGCTCAGTACTAAGGCACAGGTGAGCCTGTGTTACTTCGTGGTGCCATTTTACAGCTTGGCGACATTGCAGTCAGTCGCAAGGCGGCTAACGTCATGCCCCAGCCAGAAGTGGTACACACTCAGGTTCTTCGGATTCAGGTCTATCGGACCTGTTCGATCAGTGGGACACCTTCGCTGAGGCTCCCATTCGTGAGCTGGTCAGGCTCTCCCCACCTCTCAAGCTTTGGCGGGATTCCCAATGTCTCAATGGAGCCCATGGTGAATGCAAATTCACCCACCCGGCCATTGATGAGGAGTTCGATCAGGTCATCATGGACGTTTGGGGCAGGGCCTTCATGACCCTCGACGGCAAGCGCACCCAGCCCACAGAAGCTGCTACCTTTCTGGCCTTCATCCGGGTCCCGCTGTCGGCTGTTCGCTCCATTCTCACCCACCAGCCCAAAGGAGCCTTCATCGAGCCCCGCTTGGACGCCAGGCAAGGAGTTGACCCCACTTACCGAGTCGTCTGGATTCCGGGAGCAGACTACGATCAGGTGCTTCACATTGCCCGCACCTTCACCAAATCTCTCAGTCTCATGCGGCTGAAACAACGCTTCGGCATCCGGGTGCTTGCCAAAGACCTCCAGGCCGCTCATGAGACCCTTCGACCGGGCACCCCCTTCAATGACATTGCTGTGAACCACATCTTTCAGCTCTTCCCTATCCCACACGGCACACAACGCTCCTCAGTCGCCAAACTGCTTGAGGATTGGTAATGGGAAGCGAAACCACTCCAACCGGGCAGGGGCAACTCTGATGCCATGTCTTGGACTGTCGGGGCTTCCAAACCCCCCTCTGGATTTGTCCTACCTGGTTTTGGTGCTGACGTCCTCATCACTGAGACTAAGACCCAACCCACGACCGGCTCAACATTGCCGCTTCGAGACGTACCCAGGACCACATTCGCAACGGTACTCCGACACCCCAGTCTGGTGGTTCTTCCGATCCCTGGCTTGAACCTGGTGGTGATCCTTGAGTCGCTGCTCCAAAAACACTGCATTTGCGCCGCCTGGGCTCCCTACTCCATCCGCAATCACCAAGACTCGCTTTGACGAGATTGCCAAAGAGCTCAGGGCAGAAGTCCAGGCCACCCTCCGCTCTGAAGTCGCTGGGCATCAGGCCATGGCAGATGACCCGGACACTCAATCCAGACTTCACAAGCTCGAAACTGACATCACCGAGATCAAGTCGCACAATCAACACTTCAACCAGTGGTTCAACCAGGCGAGAATGTTGTATCCACCGTACAGGCCACTCTTTCAACCCATCAGCATGAGCTCTCCGGGCTCCGCCAAGAGCATCAGCAATCCCAGGAACGCATTTGGCAATCTATGCAGGGCGACAAGACCTTGCCACCGACATGGGCGCACGCTTTGACTCCATCGAGGCCATGCTTAGCAAGCGGCCTCGCTCCAACGAGTGACTCCGTCATCCGGAGGTCAGGAAGCGGTCGCCTGGCCTGCCTGGTTGTCACTCTGACCGTGCTTGGGCTCATCGCTTTCGCTTTTGGGCCATTTTCATCTTCTGCTCACTTTGTGATGCCACTGCTCAGCCCTTCACCCGGTTCTCTGTTCACAGTGCGGCTGGGGCATCTGCCTCAGACTGCGATCTTGGGTTGGGGGCTATCTGTGGCAATCACAGCATCTCCTCCGAGTGGCCTGGTCCTGGTTTTCTACGCATCGGGGAAGCTAGTCACCCTGGACCTACATCCACCCTCTGCATTTCTTGCAGCAATCCTAGTGGCCTTAGAGGCAAAGAGCCTCTCTTGCTCTTGCTCGGCCCCGGCATTCACGCCGTTGCCGAAACACACCTCAGCGATGCCACTCTGCCCGCTGTCTCCGGCATCCTTTCACGGAATGCTCACCATTCCAACCGCCTTGTCCGTTCACTGGCCGGCACCCCTGTCGCCTTGCGACACAGCTCGACATGGGCTGGCACATGGAGCGGCGTTCTTACCGCTTCTGACTTTCCATGCCATTCTCTTGACATCTCGTGGCCTCTCGAAATCTGGCAAACCGGCCGTGTCCAACTGACCTCACACCAAGTGGGTCCCCACAGGATCTTGGTTGCCACAATTTACGGCTATGCCCGTGGGCCTACCTGGCCACGCGCACATGAGCTCACAGAGCAGATGTTGACCCACTTGACCGAACACTTGGTTGTCGGATACTCCGGCATGGCAGCCATCGTCGGTGACTTCAACGCCGACCCACATGAGCTGCATCAATTCGACGTCTGGCGCACCTATGGCTGGGAGCATGCACAACAGCTCTCCCATCAACGCTGGAGCACTCCCATTGTCCCCACTTGCAAAGGGGCCACGCAACGCGACATGATCTGGCTTTCGCCCGCCCTTGCTTCTCACTGCAGCCAGGTCAACACCAACGATCTGTTTGTCGACCACCTCACCCTCTCTGCCTCCTTTGAGCTTCCGCTCACTACTTCCACCTACCTTTCCTGGCCACTTCCTTCCAGGCTTCCCTGGACTGATACCACTACGTTGCCCTCGCATGACTCGCACTTCACCCCCTTTGCTACTGGCAACAATACCACCCACTTCTTCCGCAGCTTCTCACAGCAGTTTGACCAAGTCGCTGCTGACTACATCACCAACACGCAGGCTTCTACTCTACCGCCTGCTTGTCTCGGACGGGGTCAGCGCACTTCTCCTATGGTCAAGACGGCCCATCCTCCTCGTTGCCGTCCTCATAGGCCAGGCGAAGCGGCTCTTTGCTACGACTTGCCCGGCCGCTCGGTGCTCCAGTGGTACAAGCAACTCCGGCGGCTCCAGTCCTACTGTCATGCCATTCATGCAGTCTTCAGTGACCGACATCTTCAAAAGCTGCGCACACAAGCAACCAGGGCCCTCCACATCCAGCACGGTGGGTCCAACCCACTGCTTCGGCTCTCTTTGTCGCGCCCTGCCACTGCCGATCCGGGCTACTACCAGCTTCGGCGCTCAGTCTTCGACTTTCGCCGTATTGCTCTCAAGTCACCAGAGCTTCTTGATCACTGGAGCGCCTTTTGCAACACAAGACATCGCGCCACCACCACTGGGCCCTTTTCCAAGATGCAGCAGCTCTTTGAGCTCATCGGATGGAGTGTGCTTCTTCCGCCTGTTGTTCAGGATCACGATGGGGTTGGGCACAACCTGCTTGGACTTGATCCCACTGCTCTCGAGCATCTGCTTCATGACGCGTGGGCACAGTTTGTTGCCCGGCAGGTGCGACACCGCAAGGCCCTTCAACAGTTACAGGGACTTGACCTCGAAGCCATACAACACGGCTTCGACCGCCTCACGCCGCACCACCTTGCCATCACTATGAGCCTACACGACGGCTCATTCTTGGCTCCTTCGCAACAGGCTAAATTTGACAGCTGCCAGACTGGCTCTGCCCTAGCTGCGGCACTCCAGATGAGCCCTCACACTGGCTGAGCTGCCCTCGCTTCGCAGATATTCGTGCTGGCATGCCTGAGCTCACCTCAGCAACCCACACCGCCGCAGCGCCACAGCATTTCACACAGCATTTGTTGGTCGCCAGGTCCCCGCATGCAACATTGTTGAAGTCTTATTTTGCAACTCTTGAAGACTCTGTTGAGTTCCTCTCCGAGCCTGGCACTGGACCTCAACATTTGTTTACGGATGGGAGCTGTATTCGCAATTCCAGACCCTCACTTGCGGCTGCCAGCTGGGCAGTAGTCAATGCCAGCACCGCGAGACCGGTCGCTGGCGGACCACTTCCTGGTTTAACACAAACAGCTGCACGTGCTGAACTGTATGCCATTGTTGCAGCGGTTCACTGGGCTTTTTTCTATGACCAGCCCACTCACATTTGGAGCGACTCGCAGGAAACTGTCAGGTTCGTTACTGAGCTTTTGGAACAGCCACAGATGCATCTGGACAGCTCTCTGGGTCTCTTTGACCTGAAAACTTTACTTGCCGAACTCTTGCTACAATGCAACACTGGCTTGGTTCACATACATTGGATTCCGTCACACTTGGACTTCAGTTTGTGTACCAGCGAGTTTGAGGAGTGGGCTTGCCTTTGGAATGATGCCGCTGACAGAGCAGCCGGCATATGCAATCGCAACAGGACCCCTGCTTTTTGGGAACTTTGGAACGGCGAATCCCAACGCTTCGACCTGGTTACCTACCAGCTTCGGGTACATCGCAATTTCTTTTGTGCAGTTTCCGAAAGGCTTCAAGCTGGACTGGAAACACCTGAACCTGCTGCCCCTCCTTCTGCGGATACCGATTGGGGATTGGTTATCGGTTTTACAAGTCTGGTTGAGGCTGCTCCGATCAATTGGGGGCCGCTTCACGCACTTCGCACTCCGGCTTACCCCATTGCATTGGTCAGGTTTGTTGCCGAACAGCTTGATGCTCTTGACGATGCTGAGCTGAGCTTTATGCCTATCAGCTACATTGAGCTTACCCTTCTTTTGGCCTGCACCTCGCGATTGCGCCTACCCAAGCAGAACAGTGATGACATTTTTGACCCTGCATGTTTCTTTGCCCGGCCGTCCATTGCCACCTGTGTCGGGCATGTCAAATCCGCCATCCGGCACTTTTGTACAGCCTTTGGCCTTGGCCACTACCATGCCGGGCAGCTGTGTCGTGCCCACAGCCACATTTATATCCCGACTGACGGTATCATCCTCAGAATTTCGGGTGAACTTAGGGATGCCGCGATCTCGCGTGTTCTCCGAGCCACCAATGGCCGGGGGATTCGGCGGGTTCACGATTTGGCTCGTCCCATTTAGGCCACTGCGCCTACACGACGTTGGCGCCGCACCGCCTAGCTGTGCGCGTCGGAGCTCGCGCAAGTCCGAGATAATGGAAAACCCATTAGTTGGCAAAATGTTAAAGTCCAAACATCCAGGCAAAATGCACCAAAGAAGGGATCCCCAAGTAAAGGATGCTTCCCATGATGAGCTCGTGTGATTTGGAGGTGAGCTTGCCATAAGTTGTGACAGATCAATCTGTTGGGATCGTTCAAAGTGGCAATTTCCGAGTATGAGTCATTGTTTTTGATTTGCGCTGGATTCAAATTGGTTCAGAACTAGTTTGGTATCGGTTTAGTGTTGGTTTAGTATTGGGGTACCGGATGGGGTACCCCAAAACTAAGTTGAGTTCGGGGTAAATACGACTCGTAATTATGTAGGCCCTTGATCTTTTTGGTGGTGCTTCTGCCTATGCGTGTGGCTGATTGGCTTTGCAGGCTTCGTAGATTGCAACGAGGCCCCAGTTCTAACATTGCCGTCTGAATGAGGATGTTTTCGAAAACGCCATAAACACCGGCACCTCATAAACTTTGAACACGAGCCGCTTGGGAGTCCTGAGCGGGTAGGCAAAATTATGGTGGCCAATGCCTGGCCATTCTTGGGTGGGGACCCTTAGATCATGGATCAGGTTGGCTAATCTGTGATCCCCATGTTAGAGGTGGGGGGCTGCCTTCCGGTTTACATGTTCTGGATCCAGCTCCTGATGCGTCATCTGTGTCATCTGCGACATCTGCGGTGGAGTCATCTGTGGAATTGTCTGCGTATGCGGCGTCTGCGAAACCTGAGGCGTCATTTGGGTCGTCAACTGCGGCGTCATCTGCGTCTGAAGCGCTGGCGTGGGCGCCTGCGCGGGCAATTTGTGCTACCCAGATTCCGAGACCTTTTGTTGCACCTTCCGATTCCAAAGAATCAACGAACCGATGCACAACAAACACTCTGCAAGGCCAACAAGGAGCCTGTGCAAAAGGTGGCAAACCTCTGGCATATACATGTGTATGCCATCAATGAAGATGTTCTAGGTAATAGCCACAGAACATCCCACTATCAAGTCGCTCATTCCCAGTTTTGCTCCATGTTGGTATGGAGTCGTCGGACCTGTAAGGCCCAATGGTGACTACACCCCACTAGCATTAAGCACAACAAGCCATCAAGCAACCGGCCGCTTCCGGCACTCACCATAGCACTGCACCTTTCAGGCGGGTGGCTATTTGAATGGGCAAAAAACTGCGACCGTTGATGAGTCCAAGGGGGATGGTTTTGTCGAAATAGGGGCCCTGACAAACAAATAGCCCGTGTTGCTCCACGCACTCACCTGGAAAGAGGAAACCTGCGTTGAAGTTGATGGGTGCCAAATTTGGGATGTAAAGGGGAATGTGAATTGATGCATCCCCTCGTGGCTGTCGTAAGTACCATGTCACATCCTATGCCAACCAGAGCCAACCCTTAGAAATCTGGGATCCCTTCATGGATGCCTGCTTTCACCAACTACAATCACGGCCATTGTCATTCCTTCTGCACAAGGTCTGCACCAGTTGGATCCCGGACGCTGGAACATGCCCTGTGCTAGTATAGAATGTCCAACAGGTGCAACTACTTTGGTCGGTGCCAACTAGGGGTGGAACACAAATCCATCCCCGTGGGTGTTTCCTTTTGGGAAAATCAAAGCTATGCGTTTTAGAACCCAGCTACTCAGTTCTCGGCTTGCCGCCTGGTGCAAGGTGAGTAGCTTCTTGGGATTCAGCCAGCCTTGTGAACTGGCGGACAATTCCGCGTCTTCCAAACAGTTGGGTGCCACATGGGGGGTTCCTCTTGAGAAGCTAGAAATTGCGGGGGCAGTTGATGAAACTTGCCACCCAAGAAGTGAAGGGGGCCTGTTGGTCAAACCAACGCCACGTGCTTCAACAGCCACTTCTGCCTGGGGCCGCTCAGCTCGGCGGCTCACCACAGGCTTGCAAGGGGTAGGCACGCCCTGCTGCACCTGCGCCTGTGATGCTTGGGCCTGCCAGGGAACCCCCGCCCCCGACACCCCTGCCACAAATGGCATTTTTCGCTTGAATCTGAAGCAAGACCCGCTCATAACAAGAGCTTTCACAGTGAGCTCGGGTCACTATGACTTCATCATGCAATGACCTGGGCAAACAAAATGCCACAACTCAGACAGGTGGAAATGGGTGATCCATCATCACCGGTGATCTCGGTTTTTAACCCCTCACTTTCTTGCTGCTCCGGAGCCTGCGCAGCTTAAAGGCAGGAAAAAAGAACACTTGATCCCTAATTGCCGCGCCTCCCAACGCCCGGTTTTGCCCATCACCCGAGGCCTTTTCATGAGCCCCCCCCCCTGCGCCATAGGTTTATTTGGGCCTAACGTTGGCCCTTGGACCTCCGCTCTGCTACAAGTAAAAGGGTGTCCCGAATCACCGAGTCCAAGAGTGTCCACAAACAAATTCAGCTGGGTAGAGGCACTCTTGTGGCCAACCACCCAAAAGCGCCATGGTGATCTTCGGACAGGACTTACCTTCTCACACTGTTCACTTCCTGAGTGGATTGGCCAGAACAGGTGTTAGCTTTTTGCTTACTACTACAATGCTCTTCTCAAACAGTATGAAGTCCACAAACGCGGGGAGTGAGGTTTAGAGAATTCAACTGAGGTCCAGCTAACCCCCAAGTGCACTTGTCCGTATGATTGATTGCCGCTCGTCCTGAACACTTGCGCGGCATCTCTTTGTATAGTCTTTGTATACCGTAATTCTGTTGGGCAAGGCATGTGAAGCTTCTGCCGGCATTTGATCAGCGAAAGTTTTCCTTCGCTGCCGGGTAGTGCGGCTCGAAGCGGCACACTACCCACGTAATACCCTGTAGCAGAAATTCATCAGCGCACGTTGCCGTGCCTGCTTGATGAGTCAACCTCTACACCAAACGCGACCACTGCGGTGCGAAGAGAGGCATCTGGTTGCAGGACCCCTTCTCTCATGCTGGGGATTCGCCTTTCCACTTCGTGTCCCACAGAACTTCCGCCAAAAGCTGGCAACCTGCAAGCTTCAACTTGGCCACAATGTGGCAAAGTGCTTGAGACGCATCCACTTCATGACTTGGCGCTGAAATCCAGATGTTGTGTCCATATGCGGCAGTTCTGACGCCAGCTGTGCTATGTATATTTGCGTCACGACCGTACTTCCAGAAATGAATGCCAAAGGGGCTATAAATGCCCAACCAAAGCTCATCGAAGCAGTCATGCTCCCGTACTCCTGTCATAGCAAATTTGATATGCGAAAACTGACAACACCATGTCTGTCGGGATTCTGAGAAACACATCTTGCCAGCTTTGACTTCAACCCGCTGGTCGTCACGAATCCAGTCCACCCCCGGTGGCCTTGGCTTGGCCAGGCCGTCTGAATCCGAGTGAAAGACGCTGCGAGGATGCAACATGCGATCAACTTCGAGGGCGATTTCTTGGACGCGCAAGCCCCGCAATGAGGCGCTTAACGTGCACAAAGGTGTGCCGGCAAAAACATGGTCCGCGCCAGCTGTGCCATCTTCCACCAGCTGCACCATGAAACTCTGATACGTTGGGTCTGAAAGTTTGATGTGAGAGACGAGGGCACAAGCAGACTTGTCGCCTAGCAACTTTGCCAGTATGTTGGTCCGTGCTGAGCGCCAACAGGCATCTCCCGTTGTTCCGGTAACAACAATTTGGTGACCAACACATCCTGTCCTCAAGCCCTGTTTCGAAACATATGTTTGCAGGTCATGCCTGACAATGTGCAAACTGTCAGGACTGAACATTGTAAGGTACAACTCGTCAAAGAGAGGACGTGTGCGAAAGCCGGGATAGGCAAGCTTCACACCGTGAAACGCTGCCGACCAGATTCTCCGCCGGGTATCGAACGACATCTGAGCACTTTTGCATTCCACCTTTTTTCCATCGAGTGTAAAATCCCACTCTGCATGCCATGTTGACCTGCGCCTACCACCGGCGCATACTGATGAGGGAGAAGCATCCTTGATTATGCAATTTGTGTATGTCTCTGCCAGCGCACGCTTGCAAACTTCCTGCAGCACTTGCCCTCGTCGGCTCTCTGACAGCAGTGCCAGCGCGCTCCCCGCATAATGCTTACTGGTTTCGGAGACAGCGCCGGTGATATGCTGAAACTGAGCGGCATCAAGAACAAGCCTGCGCTGTTGACCAAATAAATCGTGACGGAGACGAGAAGCCGTGCAGGTTGGTCGGAAAGGCTCCCATGAAGGCAGAACACTTTTGTACCGGGACGCTGGGCTTGATGATTTGTGCATGCTTCGGCATCATAGCTGAGTCAGTCAAAGGGGTCGGATTTGTGGCCAAGCATTGAAGTGGTGATTGTCACCTTCAGCCAAACAGCATTGAATGGACATTGCAAATCGGTGGCAGTCAATGTTCTCCGCAAAGCACCATATGTGCCATGGTCAAAATGATGAATCTCTTGCATGCAACCGGAATCATGGTTATTAAGGATCCCTACAACCCGCCAGTACCCGGTGCCTGCAGTTGCGACTCCAAAGTCTTGAGCTCCTCCTCCTGGGGTGATTGGATTTCTCCCAGTGACACTGCCATGTTTGGACACCCTTGTTAAAACACGAACCCCAATCCAACTGGCCCCCCAGTTGGTGGTTTGGATTAGTGGTTTGGGGACTTGAGCCCCTGGTTCTTGTAGAGAATAGATGGGAAGCCACCAAGGGGAAATGTAATCAACTTTGGCAACCAAAGGTGATGGAATGCTCGGCATCAGGAAAACAACCAGGAATGTACTATGTGCCAAAAATGGAACCTGGCTGGTCCCTCGACAATTTTCCTCCTCAAGAAACCTTATGATGGATCCATGTTCGGAGGGAAGTGCCCCATTCAGAAACTGTAGGATGTGTGAGTGGGAGTGGGGAAGCCCCTTCCAGTCCTAGCGCGTTCAGACATCTACCCACTTGCCCACCGACCAACCCTGGCAGCAAGAATTACTGGGGGTGGCTCCTGCTTTGTGGGACACCCAGGCAAAGGGGATTTAGCGGCTGAAATCAACACAATGACCGGGAGAAACACACATATGTGTATATATATATATATATGTGTGTGTGTATGTATGTATGTATGTATGTATGTAAGTATGTAAGTATGTAAGTATGTATGTAAGTATGTAAGTATGTGTGTATGTATGTATGTATGTATGTATGTATGTATGTATGTATGTATGTATGTATGTATATATGTATGTATGTATGTATATATGATATGTATGCGTGTGTCGGTCGCTTCTCTGTGGCCTGCATGGTCGGTTTTCGGCAAGAATGGGGCTGTCTGGTACTTCAAAGCCAAAGTTAGTCATTAGCATGGGAGAAGTAAACTGTGCCCATGGCGACCCTCACATTATTTCCCTTGAAGGTTAACAATCCAGAAACACACAAACACACACACACACACACACACACACACACACACACACACACACACACACACACACACACACACACACACACACACACACACACAAAAACCAACAAAAGTGAAACCTCCTTTTGGGGCACCCTTTTTGGGGCTCCATGTCAACCTGCAGGGGGCTACCCCACCCGGTCCTTTTGTGTCACCAGCCGCTCGCGGCGCGTCAGCTCCGCCTCCCGTTTGGCCAGCTCCGCCTCGCTGCGATCCGCAGGTTCCTGGCTGACCCGGCGATGGTTTTGGGTGAAATCGAAAGGGCTCCAAAAAAAAGGGACCACCGAAACTCTGAGTTTCTGCGATCCACACTGGCCAGATGTTGGGTCCTGATGGTGACTGTTGGGTTTCCTGAAGAAGGTAATTAGTTTTCTGCTGGCAATCCTTGAGGCAGCACCCAAAATAAGGCTCATTCAAAACATGCACGCCCATGCGAGCGTAGAATAAACGGGCCCGATCCAGTTTTGACCCTGGCGCCATTTGTTTGCCCTCTTGGACGAGCTCGCAAAGGGTTTGAACAAGCCTCAAATGGGTGTTCTTGGTCGGGGTTGGTACCCTTTTGAGGCTGGCCCTGCTTTGAAAAGGAACCCAGAAGGCAATCACCCCATTTTGGGTGGATCCAATGACACAAGCCATGTAAAGACACCTGCTATTACTTTCCCTTCACCTGAGTAGGAACATGTTGAAATCTGCAACAACTGGGTGTGTCGCTTCTTAGGGAACCCCCAAAATGGGCGGTTCGGTTTTCCTTGTGGTCTATGTTTTAAACCACCCAAAAAACTGGTACTCTCAAAAAAGAAGCACACCCAGTTAGCCGATGAAAAATTGCAATCCCATGATTAGAACCTATATCCTCCAGCTGATTGCTTGGCAATCGAGCAGATGCCATGACTTGATGCTCGCCAGGTCCTTTCCCTTGTGATGCTTGTGGCTCCCTCTAAGGTGATGCGTTCACTTGTGGTTCGCCCCAGGCAAAAGTAAACACATCTATCTATCAGCTTGGCTTCCTACAGAATCGATGGGGTCGACAGGTGGTTCAAAGTAAAGATCACTGCAGACTCATCATGCAGGGGGACCGCACTGGTCAGAGGAATGCCCCAAATGACCGGAAAAAAAAGCAGAGTCCCATACTTCCCGGCCAAACACCAGGAGACTCTTGAAAACGAGGGCCACAAGGGGATGCCTCAAGAACAAGCAAAAGGGGAGCTGAACCGCCGGGAGGTAATCCGAAGTGGACAAGGCTGATACACTCCCGGCCACGTTGACACCTAAGTATTTCAAAGATCGCTGCCAAGCTCTTGGATAAAAATGCCAGCAGCCGCTGCTGAGTGGCTTCCCGATGTTTCGCGCAGACTGTCGGATCTGCGGGGCCTTTTAGTCAGTGTCATCGAACTTGCCTGAGACGCAAGTTTATTTCTACCATGGCAAGCTACTGAGAATTGACACCCCGCATGCAATGAGTCTCTCTCCTCGGTTGGCCCAAAGCGTGGCATGTGCCAGCTGACCACGGCGATTCCAACTGGCGAGCCCGGACAAGAAACAACACCGGAGAAGCCACGGGGTAGATCCATTCAGTAAACCACAAATTGTGGGATTCCCTGTAAACCCAGCACGACAAGACACCAAAACGACCCCCTAAATCTGTCGGACACCCTTTGGTCGCACAAACGGGTTGCCTCTGCTTGCTGGTCTCGTTCGGCCAGAATCCGCGGAAGCGGAACCGCGGCTATCGCTGCTTCACCAAACCTAGGCTCTCCTGCTTCTATTGAGCTCGTTGATTTTAGGGGTTTTTTGGACTTGACCCCTTTTCCCTGCCCTTGTACCACTTTTTATGGGTTAAACGCAGAAAAGGGGGGGGTCCTTTGGGGGTCGTCACTTTCAACAAACATGTGCTTCCGGCAATCTCTGAACTGCAGCTGCCCTCAGCCATGAGATCGCACCCACTTACCGTGTCAGCAACTTAGACCCCCGACAAATTTAAGAGGTGTTTGCTTTCGGTGGAAATGAAAATGAAAAGGAAACCCAAACAGGGTCAAACAGTCACAAAGGTCAGCTAAGTCTGGCAGCATCAAAGATGAAGGCTGGAGCAGAACTTGCTTGCCACTCGCATAAACACGACCCAGGGCTGTCGGTGAACAAGACACGCCCACCGTTTCAAGAAACAAAAACCCTGGATCCCTCACTCCTGGGTGTTCAACACATATGAGCCAGCGTCTATATTTGCTGTGTGGGGTGTATTCATTCTACTTTTAGTGAGTCCCCTATCGTTCTCCACGTTTCGCGTGTTCGTGCTGTGCCCGATGAACCCTCTGCAGGGTTCGCGCGCCTCGAAGCGCTCCCACTGTGGCGCCGTGCGAATTTGTAAAGCGCCCGATGAACCCTCTGCGAGGATTGCGCGTGCCACAGCGCCCTCGCTGTGACGCCGTGCGAATTTTAAAGCTGCCCGATGAACCCTCTGCAGGGATCCTGCGCGCCCAAGCGCTCTCGCTGTGGCGCCGTGCAAATTCGTAAAGTGCCCAATGAACCCTCTGCGAGGATTGCGCGTGTCAAAGCGCCCTCGCTGCGACGCCGTGCGAATTTGGAAAGTGCCCGGTGAACCCTCTGCAGTGATCCTGCGCGCCCAAGCGCTCTCGCTGTGGCGCCGTGCAAATTCGTAAAGTGCCCAATGAACCCTCTGCGAGGATTGCGCGTGTCAAAGCGCCCTCGCTGCGACTCCGTGCGAATTTGGAAAGTGCCCGGTGAACCCTCTTCGCGGTGACCACGCGTGCCCAAGCGCTCTCGCTATAGCGCCGCGCGAACTCGAAAAGCACCCGACAAACTTTCTACGCAAACACAGCACTGGAACCACACGCGTAGTCTTTTGTAAGCAAATGCACTAGGCCTCACATTTGCAACTCGGGCCAATGCTCGGGGTATCGACGGGGTATCGACCGGGGTATCGTTCTGGGCGTGTGTCGCGTGACGAAAATTTTCACAATTTTCCATAAGCTGTTAGAGCCAAGCAAACACACAATAGCCTTCTCTGCCTTGCGGTAATCATATATCAGTCTTGGCGGCTTGCTTGCTGGCAGCAACCTCAAGGTCGCAAGTCGCAACTTTCACCACAAGCGCAGTGCACAAGTTACACTTCGGCAGCTCCAGCTCGAAGGTCGCAGCTTGCGGCGGTCACGTGTCAGTCTAAGCGGCTTTTGCTTGCTGGCAGCAACCTCCAGGTCGCAAGTCGCAGCTTTCAGTACAGGCACGGTACACAAGTTAGACTTCGGCAGCTCCAGCTCGAAGGTCCAGCACAAACCATGTTCAGGGGTATCGTTTTCTGTGAGCCCCCTATCGTTCTCCAAGGAAAATGCAAAAAACCAGTATTGAATGAAACGCCGTTGATAAAGTGGTCTTTGATAATTCTGAGGTTGACTCATATGGGTATGTGTCAAGATAGGGGCCCCAAACATGGATGGTTTCCTGCTGGCGTACACTCCCATCATCTCCCATCCGCAAACACCTCACAGGGTCGGGGAAGACCATTTTCCCAAAGGGAACTCGCGGGTTCCATGCTAACATGAACCGGAGGGCACCGGGAAATACCTTTGCACTATTCTTCTCATGGCAATGTGAACCCCGGATTCACCAACCTCAGCTGTTTGTTTTTGTGGGGGTTGGGTTTTGTGAGGGGTCATCACTTTTGGAGGGCCCCCAGCCACATATGAATAAACAGGGGTTCTCCAGGGCTGGCAAACTACTGGGTTGGCGACATGACCGGAGGGTACCGGAGCGAAACAACAAACGCTCGATCCCTCATAATTTCACCAAGTTTCTCAGAGGCTTCCCCTAAGTTCCCACCGGTTGTCCTTGGGTTTCCCAAAGGAATGGAGGTTTGGGTTTGGAGGTGTGCTGGTTCAATATTCCCATTCACCCTCTGCAAAGAGCCAAGGGTTCAAACTCCCAATCCCAAGACCGGAGGGCAACCTCAAGAACACTTCCTGGTGCTCGGTAGGGAATTTGGGAGTGAACCTGGGGGTCCCCTTAAACGAAACCACCAGTTGGATGGTCTATATAAGGGTCATTCCCTCAGTCCCTACATCTCTTGCACCAGCAGGTCACATGTCCAAGCACTTTCGCCGAGCGTCCCTCTTTCCAAACTGACAACGAAAAAACCAAAAAGCTCGCACACCAGCTAAATGGTTTATAAGGGCCCATTCCAGCCCGAGCACCAGCCGGAAAACACCCGAGCACCACCAGCCAGGAAAAAAAAACAACAACGCAAATTCGAGACGAGCCGCTGCGGCGGGCTGTCTGCCGCGAAGCGCGGTGTGGCAAGGGCCGGCGGCGGCGCTGCCACTGGCTCCGTGGCCTGCGGCTGGATGGACCGGAGAAAAATCAAGCCGGCGTTTTGGAACGTGCTTAAAAGGGGTTGCTGGTTGGAATGTGTGGTGGTTTGGTTGTTTGGCCTGTCGCATTTGATTGCTTTTTGTGTAATTGTTTGTTTGTTTATTCTGATTGTTGTGCCTGTCTGCTTGCGTGTGGTGGCCTAAATGTGCTGACAGGCTGATGTCATCTCTGTTCCGACGATAGGAAGCCCGCTGGCCATTCGCTTAAGCATGTGATCGTTTGAAGGAATGGTTGCACTCAATGGCATGAACCTGGACACCAAAACAAAACCGGACAAGACAAGAACTGGGGCTGTTCACAGGCTATGGCCAGTCCATTTTTTGAGCTGATCGTGTCTGGTCTGCATTTGAGCGACAAATCAAAAGGCACCCTTTCCAGGACACGAATAACATGCGGGGGGACACGAGGAGGATGTGCCATTTGGGCGCGCTTCATGTTTCAGGAATCGGACCCCCAAATGCGCACGGGTTCCTTTCCCCCCTTTAAACACCCACCAAAACAAAGGCACCCCAAAAACACACACATACACCTATTTGACAACTAAGCCAACTTTCCTGGGATCATGTGGGCAACGTTGTTGAAGCCAGAGCCAACTGCTTTTAAAGGCCCAATTACATGTTGCTGCAGCCCTAGGCTTCTTGATGTGCGACAGACCTGTGGAAAGGGAGCTGTGCACTTTCAAGCTGACTTGCAGGGGGTAGGCACCAGAAAGCACCAGGCCCAAGCTAAAGGCCCTTTCAGAGAGCTCGGGGGGGTCTGCGACCAGAGGCCTTCAGCAAAGTGAAGTGGGACCAGAGTGATACACTTCCGCAACCCCAAGGTGAGGAAGCATCAATTCGCGCGGCAGCCAGTTGTTTTGCAACCGCGGAAGTATGAGTAAGCGTCAATTTGTCTAGGGTGGTTTCATCGTCGGACCTTAGGACTGTTTTACAGTTGTTGGCAAACGTACTGTACATCAAAGGAACCCTCAAACTGTGCATGGCAAAAATTGCACTCCGACTTGTTCTATCTGACGCAGTCCAGAATGTGTTTCTTCATCTGAAATTCATGCGCAAAAACGGCCATGCCAAATGAATTTCCGTCGTATTCACCTGTTGAAGGCATGTCTCCACCCCCTTGGCACTTACAGCAATCATTCCACCCGTTGAAACCCTCAACTCTGTTGCTCCGTTCTTCGAGTTTCTTGATTTTAGGTTCTCGGTGGGGGGTCTGGAGTTGTGTTTCGAACACATCATCCTTGTGGTCTCCCCATTTCCAGGCGACCAAACACCAACTGAGTGCCGTCTGCCAGTTTGGGAATGGACACTTCCGTGGACATGAGAAAGGCAGGGACTTATGAGTTTCAGAGAGTCACTGGGACCCCCAAAGTGAAAAAAACAAACAGTGACAGATTCCCATTTAAACCCACAGACAGGGGAAACAATGCAAAGCTTCGGGCTTTCGCGACCCTGGCGCGGCACACATATTCCAAAAGATTGTCGAAGATTCAGATTCCGTACCTTTACATACGAAATGGATCAAGGAGCCAACAAAAACAAAAACAAACAGCTACTCAAATACTCTTAAGCAACTGGAAGAAGCTCAAAAGGCTCCTCCCTCTCCACCCCGACTCGCAGCCTCAAGATCCACAGGCTCCGCCGGCTCCGCCTCCACACAGCGAGGGCAAAGGAACCAGCGCTGCCTGCGTCGCGGGATTCGCAAGAAACGGACGATGCTCGCAAAAAATACTGGTTTGTGAAGTCTGAGTTCGACAACTGCATTTCCAATGGTTGGATTCCTTTTGGTTTCCCATAGAGCCAGTTAACCAAAAAAACAGGGACGCTGAAAATAGGGACCCTTGAACAATAATGGTTCGTTCCCTTCCGCCCAACAAAGCTTGCATGTGGTAGTCTGCGTTCGACTTCTGCAATAGGGTCCCCTTTCGCATCGTTGGTAACACCCTTGGCTATCCATTGCAAGAAACTGGCTCCAAAACTGGCAATTGGCACCAGGGTTTTAGAAGACCTATGCTCTTCAAATGGCCTGGCCTCCCGTCCGTTTTCACGGTTCTTCGGGCAGCATTGGGCAAACCAGGCAAAACAGTTACTCTCCTGTGGCATGTGGACAGCGGTATAGTGGATGCTCCAAAGAACATAAGTACAAGACCAAAGAACCCCCCCTAGCTCAACATAATATACCTTAGTTTTGGGGTTGAGTGACTTGATTTACTTGCAATGTTCAGGGCGTGCACCTTCTCTTCCCATTCTACTAGCAGCAAAAAACTCCACACTCCACAGCTGTTGTAATTTGAGGAATCAGGCGGAGGACGAGCCATCATTAGAGACATGATGGGCCCCCCGATTTCAAGGCACACCCCACGTGTAAACAAAGCAACTGGCCCTTCTGGCCCCCCTCTCCCCTGCCTCGTGCCCGACTCCTCGCACACCTCGCAGGCAGAGAGAAGGTGATACCCCAGGCGCGCCCCGCAGCCGCAGGCCTTACGCTCACGCGCGGTGGCGGCGGAAGGGTGCCCCAGCCATTGCAGGAAGCAAGGGAAGCCCCCAAAAAATGTCCATGCGCTCAGTTGGCCAAAAAAACCAAATAAAATTGGTTGGCCTTTTTGGGTCATAACTAAAATGGTTTGAGAAAAATGGAAAAGAGAAAAGTCAACAGGTCGACTTGCTTAGCGAGTTTGTGGCTGATTGACTTGCTATGTTTAAGGCACCGTAGGAAAAGCAGCGGGTTGGCCGAAAACAGGTGCGGGTTGGCCAAAAACAGTTCAATTTCTTGACGAAACTGGCCCTTCTGAGACTCCCAGCTGCCAAGGCCTAGGACCAGTGCCATGGTGCCTCTGCTGAGCGAATTTCATCGCGCGCTTGGGACATGTGAGTCCCTTGCCCGAATTTGGCCGCCCCTGGTGCACTTGATGCCTCATACGCTTGTATGTTTGCTTGTGGGGGGCGAACGTTGGACGGAACTCTCACCAAGCCGCATTCTCCCATGCTTTTCTGGGCAATCAGGCTTTCAGCCTCCAGTCCCGGCAGAAGCTTCGCAGCTACAAGCTCAACTCAAAAGCTTCCAAGTTCTTGCCCCTGTCTGCTTGCCTCTAGGTGGTTTGGATTGGTGGTTTGGAGCTTCGGGGGTTTCCCACTTACCCTCTACCAGAACCAAGGGTTCAACTCCCCAAGCCGCCGGGCTCCAAATCCCCCAGCCACAGAGCTGCCTGACCCAAAGCACCCATCAGCCATCAGCCAGCCCCTCGGCTCGGCTCCAGGAGCCCCAAAGAAAGCCACCGGCCGAGCTTCCATGTCACGCACCTTGCAGTCGCACACGCCGGGAGTCTTGCCCGCCTGTCGACACGGGTCACACTGCGCCAGCGTTCTTTGCGGCTTGGGGCATGAGGCGACCCTTGCGTCTGCGTGCAGCCACGGTCCATGCTTGTGCTTATGTTTCATTGCATGCCTATTTGCACACAAAGTAAAACACAAGCATCTGAGCAGGCTTTCTGCTCCCGACTCGTGACAAGAGCAACAAGGACTAGCGTTGTTCCAAAGGCCCTGGCCCCCCACCCCCAAACCAAACATTGCCTTTGTGCCTGTCCCTGTGTTGCATCTGCCCCCCATCCGCGGCCCCGAGTAATGCTGATCCCTGATGAACACACGCACACACACCCACTTATTATGAGGGGAGTCCCTTTTTAGAGGGGAAGCGTTTCTTCCACGGGACCCCTGCTACATTCATGTCGTCGACGCAAGGTGCCCACGGACCACCGACGAATCCTACCCGTGACCCGCGCGAGCGAGCCTCATCCTGCAGCACGATGTCTTGGGGCTGCTTCTCTGTGGCGAAGCAAATGCTGGACTCGTTGGCAAGCATCCTGAGGCAAATGCCCGAATGCACCGGAAGCTCTGGATCTTTGGAGAAAACAGAAAGGGACAACTAGGCATGGGAACTGCCTGCCGTGAGAAAAAACGCCTGAGTGCACCAGAAGCATTGGATCGAAACATAGGCATGGGAACCGCCTGCCTCAAAATCAGCAGTACCAAGCGTCTGCATCATCAGGCCCTTGTCTGAGAGAAAGCAGTTGCAGCTGCTGCAGAAGAGCTTGAAGAATGCCTCTGGATCGCCTCAAGGCGATAAACTGTCACAATCTTGGCAACATGTTGGCAACACCCCGCCCCCCTGCTTCAAGACCCAAAGACATGCCCCCAGTTGCACAATGGTCCTGGCGAAAAAAGCATGGGTCTTTCTGGGGTTGGTTCGAATTGAAAAACCGAACCCGACAAACACAAAGGGACTTCCAGAATAGAATCCATTGAGCAACGAGGAGAGAAGAGCTTAACCACCATGCTTGCGCCCCATGCCCCAGGTTTTGCTTGAGGGGTCGATCTCTGCGCGTGTGATGTCCAATGCTTCCATGCCCAGCGGGGTGGTTTTTAGGGCTGGACTCCCGGCAGCCCCGAGCAGCGCTTTCCGTGCCCGCGCGCTCCGATCTCGGGTCCCCGGGCTGATCTCATCGCTGGTCGCCGGCACCCAGTTCCTCTGCCGCCAGGCGCGCTGCCGCCGGTGTTGCTCCGCGTCCTGCGGGGCGAAAAGCTGCGCAAGCGGTGGACATGGGAGTCCCGCGGGGGGCCCTCGGCTTTGTGGTGGACCTTTAAGGGGAAAACGCGCGCTCCTTGGAAAAACGCAAAGGGTTCCAAACCTGGAAATCAAAACTGAGATACCCTGAAGTATGTTGGAAATTGTGATTGAGGTTGGATTTGGGGAGAATTCTACCTCAGCTGGTGCCGTCAAGAAATCATTACCTCTTGAAATGTTCCAAAGTGAACCTGACAATATAAATCCATTTCAAGCGAGGTCACTGAAATCAATCCAAGGCAACATGTTTATGCCCCGTTCTAAAGTAGTCTTCCTGTGGCTCCCTGAAAGCTGCTTTAAGACTTGACTTGGAGTAAGGTTGCAAGGTATGCAGCAAGAAACTTTCTGGCTTGGATTTAGGGAAAGGACAAGGGGGAATGACTCCTCGGGTTTTCTTTTGTGGAAAACCTTGAAAGACATCATTAAGTCATTCTTTGCTCAGCCTCTGACTGGTGGTTTGGAGGTTAGGGGTGGTTTCTCATTTACACCAACTAGAGGTTATTTGGTTTGCTTGTCACGAACCACCAAGGGAATCCGAGCTCCCTTTCATGTTGTCTGCGTGCGACGAAAGCACTGTGACTCAAGTCAACCCACAGCAATGGCAGTCGAGCACATGACTGCCAAACACACGATGGGCCAAACATCGTTGAAGTTCACCTGAGTTTGCGGATACCTCCCCTGGAATGATTAGACATCTTTCCAGCAGCGATAGATTCACTCTAAAACCAACGGGGAAAACTCGCAAAATATCTGCTTCACACATGGAAGGTGATACTCACCGGCTGAGTGGATGGCCCAAAAAAGGTCCAAACTTTATCTTACCCCTTAAAACTCCAAGCCCTGGGGAAGCTAATCTTTTACAGACATATAGCCCATGTCACCCAAAAAGTTGAAAAGTTGTGTTATTAAGAGGTAAGTTATATTTACCACTAGAATGGTCTTCCCAAAAGGACAAGCCCTGGCGGTGTCCTCCAAGACCTGCCTCCCCCTCCCCTCTCCTGGGCGGAGTCTGCCGCTGGCGACAGCCTCCAAGCACGGCTTCCGCGGCGCTCCAACGTCTGCGTCATATCTGGCCACAGCGAGTCGCCAGTTGAGGATTCAACTCAGTTGTTCGGTGACCCTGGGAGAAAAGGGAACCCTTTGTTGGGAAGACCATTTTTAATGGGGAGCCACTTCCCCCCCAAAAAAAAAGAAAAGAAAAGGAAGAAGGGTGCCACTGAAAAACTGAGTCAAGGACCCCCAAGGTCCAAGGCACTGAATGAACATGGAACCAAAAAGCAATCATGCTTAGAGGAATCTCCTTTTTCCCCACATCTTTATTAATGGGTCGAGTACTTTCCTGTGCAATCCTGACATCAGGTACGTCTGGGGCCTGGATTCAAGCTTGCCATGCTTTTCCAGACTGGCCCTCAAACTCCGCCATGACAAGGCAGTAACACTCAGGCCAAGTGCCTCGACAAACTCAAAGTGAGAACCCGCCTATCCATTTGCCCAAAACCCCGCCAATCTTTGATTTCAGCTAATTACCAAGGATTGCAACTGGAATCCCAGAATCCACTAAAAAATGGATTTCCCTTTCAGAATCGCCGTGGTGGGGCTATCAATCGCGGCAGCGCCCTGGGGTTCGATTCCCCGTCCTCAAGATGAACACGGCCCGCGATCCAAGTCGACGTCCCCCGACAGGCGCTTGAGCACCAAGGAGCCCACGATGCGCCAAACATGTGGGCGGGGGGCGTCGTGGACACAGGTTGGGCAAAGGGTGCGCCTGGAGCGAATGTGTCAAAAGTGTCCCGAAATGCGGTGGCCAAAGAGCGAAACAAGGCAGCCTTGAATGTAGCTACCTGCCTTTGCGGCACCAAGCAACACGTTGGCGAGATGGCACGGGGTCTCTTCGAAGGTCACAGGTCATGCCTAGAGAACATTGATCTGGGAGTTGTTGGCCCCGCATGCCAAGAGACAATGCCACGTTTCTTGTGCTGGCAAGACCTCCCATTGTGGGAATGGATGTTGCACGCTCCTTTCCATTCATTGAGATTGCCAGCTTGCTTGCCCATTTTTGTCTAGCCATCGAATCTTTTGTCTGTAGTTCCGGCTTTCTTTTGGGTCAAAACGCACAATCCCCTTTATGCCAGGAAGGAAGGGGATGACTGAGCCAACATGTTTGGAATTGGGCCATCAACTGTAGCTTGGCCGCTGCCTGGTGTAAGAGGGTTGGCTCTCAAGTCTCATCCTCTCCCGCCAGGGGATTCACGCTTCCCGGTTCCGAGGGAATCAAGGCAGGGGGATCCCAGATCAAATCAGGGTCTTCACTATGCGAAAGTTGGTCTTAGTCGCCCAAGGACCCGCAAGCAAAAGCTTAACCTTTGGCGGCCATGACCCAAAACGCACCAAAGAGCCTCTTGGCTGTGGGTCCTGTTAAATGGAAACAATGACTGGTAGTTTAATTTTGACCCATACTGTCTTGGGTCCCATTTAGATTCGGGGCCCCTATGGGGCCCTTGGCAGCCAACAGACTTTTTCTGGCAACTCTCGGTACCGAGATCGTTGGGTGAAACCGACCATCGCGTCACTGAGCCCAGTCAAAAATGTAAGCTGCCCGCAGCCAGAAGTAGGAAGCGTGGGAGGCAAACACAATATCATAGGTCATGCCACAGAAACTAGGTTCCCAGGACCAGTAAATTTGCGCTTCGCAATAGGCGTGTCACATTGAAGGCAAGAAGGCCTTCACTTTTCGGGGAAATCTGCAGGGTTGCATTCGGGGGCGGGCATGGGAGACTTTTTGTGCTGTATTCAGCCTTATGCAGCCAAGTCCTCTTGTTCCTGGGTTCAAGGAACCTGGCGGGGCGCCATGTGGTCCCTGGTACCTTCTTGGGCTCAAATATTCTTGCAGGGGGATCCGCGAAACACGACAGTTACAAAATGGCCCAAGAGCTTCGATAGCGGCCGCCCTTGGACGATGGAACTCCTGAAGCTGGACCCACGCAAGCGCTTCCTGCGTGGCCTTCCGGGAAACCGACCTGTGAAACTGGGCATGGACCAGCGCTTCCTTGGGAAGCGGTGCTCCAGCGGACGCAAGGCCTTTTGGCTTTTCCGCATTCCAAAAAGATTTACCAAGCCCGTTACAAAGCTTGAAAAGAGCCTTTGATCCGGCGGTTTTTTTCCCGCCATGTTTGGACGCTAACCCGGGTTCAACAATTTAAGGTTGCCTTTTGGTCGCTGGAATGCGGCCTGCCCTATTTCGTGCTTCCTTGCCCCAGAGGATCCGATCCGAAAAGAATTTGGCCACCCAATGGGGGTGCTTCATTGGAGGGTGCCCCAAACAGGACCAGTAGAAAAGGCACACCCGTGAAACGGGTGCGCTAGGAAGCACAAAGCTAGACCCCGGCTTTCCTGTGCAGAAAGTGTGCCAGGCTTTTGCATGTTGTCTCCCAGCCTGATCTTGCTGCTCTGCGCAGCCACCATGCAGTAGCATGTTCTATCGCACAAAAACTGCCACAACCAGCATGTCAAGAAACCCGCTGTGCGTCTGGCAGTAGAGATTTGAACGCGCAAGCCGTGTAAGACGCGCGGCTTGGTGCAAAACCAGCACGGACCCCGCAGCCAGCGGCAGGCTGCGCAGCGCTGGGCTGTGCGTAGCAAAGCTGTGTTGATAGGCGCTGTGCGAGCAGGGCTGCGTTGATCAAGCTGCGCAAGCAGCGCCATTCAAGCAGAGCTGTGCAATGCTCAGCTGTGTGTGTGGAGTTGCGCAAGCAGAGCAACCCTTTTGGTGCAAAGAACCATCCACTATGCTTTCGGGAAGGACAAATGGGATATGGATCAAAACTCGCGTAGGGCCCCAATCTGGTGACTCCTGATTTCTAGATATTCTCCCGCAACCCAGTTCGTCTGTGGCATTGAGAAGAGCCACTGACAACAAGTGACCACGAACACGCGAATGGGCGTTCTGGGCCTGCAAATTCGATGATCCTCTGGTCTCTGAGGTGAGACGAAACCTGTCACGCTTCATCTTCCAGCGCATTCTCGGCCACTTCGCCCGGCAAAGACCAGTCTTGTACTGGCTGGCCAATTCTTTCGTACTGCTTTCTGATTACCAGAATCCTCAGCTCAAGGCTCTGGATTCTTGAGGTCAACTCCATTCCCAGAACTCAGCCTGTGACACACCAATTTCCATGGGCTGGCAGGTCTCACACCGGACGCCCGTTTTGACTGATGGTCGGGAAAGGGACACCATCCAAAACAGCCAATCACCCAGAAGGGCACAATTCTTTTCTATCGAGCCTCCATTATTTCCTCGGCCTGCGGCAAAACTCGGCTTGCGTTCACCTAAAACAGGCCTCCCTCAGTTTCCCCTTCGAACATCACCCCACCAAGAGAAAGATCATGTTAAATTGGCCCAAAAGGCGATGTCTGATGCCACCAAACATCAGCTTACCTCCACTTGGCGGTTTGGATTGGTTTTCCATTTACCCTCTACAAGATCCAGGGGTTCAAATCCCCGAACCACCAATTGGAGGAAAGCTGAAAAAAAGGAAATATCGGGAGCCCTGTAAAAATCGCGAAAGGAACGATGTCTGAGCCCCGCACTGCTCCCGGATTTCGTTCACAGGCTGCACCCCTGCTTGACGCATCTCCCACATTTCGTCTTCTGCCCTCAGTGCGTCGAAAAAAATGGGGTATGAGCTCACTTGACTTCCATTGGAAAAATATGTCCAGCAGTCAGTGATCAATTTCCTTCAACACCGGAAGGGGAAAATTTCAAGAAATGTCCTGAGGCAAACGGAACTTGAAAATTGCACATGGATGCTGTCTAGGCCCCGCGCCGCTCCCGCTTGCTTTTTGACAGCGTGCGCTCCAAAAGCGGCGTCAGCCTCTCTCAAAGAAGGCTCGCGCTCGACTGGACGGGGGCTGAGAAACATCAGGTCTTCCGAGTGCAGTCGCAGCGAGGGAACCCGGATCTGACGTTTCAAGTGTCAAAGGTCCTTCGGTTGTGAAACGGCTGGATCCTTCCGCAAAACGGGCCCAGGGTTCAGTCTAGAAGCCCGGAAATTTGCAAACGATAGCCTGCCAAGAAACACTCTACTGCCCAAAGCGTCCAGAAGAAAAGGTAAATCTTTAGGCACCATGACTAAACACGGACAACCGGAAAACTAGCATGTCGATGCTTTGGGCAAGTGAGAACCTGCTTTTGCGCACTTTATCTCCATAGACCGAGAGCCTGCGAGTTTCCGTGCTCGGCTGGAGCGAGAAAATGCCGAGACGTTGGGGGGAAGGAGAAGCCAGGGTACTTAGTAAGTGGTGGTTAGTAACCATGTTTGTAGCCCGCTTGGGAGATTTATATTCATAGTAAATGGGTTATAAGCATGGTTAAGTACAATGCCCCGTCAAGTAGTCACGTCCTCACTTCCAAACTTCCAACCAGCCGGCCTCTGGCCTTTCGCAGAAAGTAACAACTAGGATCGCATCGAGGCCCCCCAGCAAAATGAGACCCTTGGTGCAGGTTTGGCGTTGCTCACGGACGTGATGCTGACAACCCTCGCCCCTGTCCTTGCGCATAACCAGGAAGCCTATAAGAGGGGGCATGCTCTCAGGGGGCCATAAGTTGTTCGAACGAGGCACGCCCATTCAAAGGATTGTCGTAAGCCCTTGGAGATGCCATTTCTTCAAGGCCCAGCACCATAGCTGCCGGACTGCTTTCCCCCTCCAGAAAAAGAAGGAAAAGGACGAACAAATGAAAGACAGAACGACATAAAGCAGGAAAGAACGAACGTAAGACAGAAAGAAGCAAGGAAAGAAGGAAGGAAAGAAAGAACAAAGTAAGGACATCAACAACGAAAATAACTAAATAAATAAAGAAAGAGACTCAAATGAGAAATATGGAAGGAAACAAGGAAGGAAGGAAGGACGGAAGGAAGGAAGGAAGGAAGGAAGGAAGGAAGGAGGGAAGGAGGGAAGGAGGGAAGGAAGCAAGGAAGCAAGGAAGCAAGGAAGCAAGGAAGCAAGGAAGCAAGGAAGCAAGGAAGCAAGGAAGCAAGGAAGCAAGGAAGCAAGGAAGCAAGGAAGGATGGATGGAAGGAATCATGGAAGACAGAAAGGAAGAAAAGCCAATAAAAGAAAGACACCTAACACAACACACATGTATAATACGGAAAGAAACAACAACAAAACAAGCTAACTAAACCAGAACAAACGAAACAACAACAAAAAAACACAATGATATGCCAATCACAAAATAAAGAAAGAAGGACACACATAAAGAAATACATAGGAAATAAGGAAGGGAGAAACAAAGAAAGGAAGAAAATACGAAAGGACAAACACATAAAGACAAACAGACAGACAGACAGACAGACAGACAGACAGACAGACAGACAGACAGACAAACAGACAGAAATAAATAAATACATAAATAAATAAATAAATAAATAAAAAATAAATAAGAAAGAGACACAAAAAAGAAGTAAACAAATAAACAAAGAAAGAACCAGCACCCTCCGACTACCGTCTAAAATTTTATTTTCGGAACTACCGGGTATTTGGCAGTAGTTCCGAAAATAAAATAAACGACAGTAGATCCGCGATCTACGGTCGTTTCATGTTGCCCCAAACAGTGAAAAACAAGACCACGGGGTGACACGGTGACACGGGGTGACACGCAGGCGACAGGGGGTGACACGCAGGCGACACGGGGTGACACGGGGTGACACTGACACGGGGGCGACACGGGGCGACACGGGGGCGACACGGGGGCGACACGGGGTGACACTCTCAAACGACAGTAGCTCACTGCGATCTACTGTCGTTCTGGGGGGGGGCGACACGGGGGCGACACGGGGTGACACGGGGGCGACACGGTGGCGACACGGGGTGACGCGCAAGTGACACGCAGGTGACACGGGGTGACACGGGGTGACACGCTGCCACCCCTTGATTGCTACCACCCTGCTATGGCATCCCCCCGTTGTAAACAGTAGCTAGCAGTAGTTAGACTATGGGCATCCCGCAAATAAAATAATTGACAGTAGTTTTTCTAACTACGGTCGTTTTTGGGAAATTTCTATCTACTGCCGTTTGGGCAGTAGTCGGAGGGTGCTGGAAGGGGATATTCCAACAGAGAAAGAACAAAGAAAAGAAAGAAGGAAGGATGGAAGGAAGACAGGAAACAAAACGAGGAAAGACAATACCTAAAAGAGAACTAGATAAACACAGAAAACAAGAAAGGAAGCAAGAAAGAAAGAAAGAACAAAGGAAGGAAGGAAGGAAGGAAGGAAGGAAGGAGGGAAGGAAGGAAGGAAGGATGGATGGATGGATGAAAGATAGGAAGAAACAAAAGCAAGTGGAGAGACAAGTAAGACAAGAACATAATATTCAAGAACATACAGACAGAAAGCAAGAAAGAAACAAGAGACACGAGAGTTACAAACCAGTGTTGGCTTTGGGAACCCAGGCGGAGGGTTCAAACACTCGCACATTCTCTCCCCACGGCTGGGGTGTCGGCAGGGGCTGGACTTGCTTGGACACCTGCAGGGCGAAGGCGGCTTCGCCCCGTGCGGGCGGGGGCTTCGGTGTAACCAACGACCTCCACGAATGATGCCACTGAACAACCCGTGGTGGCGAAGGCGGTGGACATTTAGGTGGACTGGCTGACAGGCATCTAAGTTGGAACAAACATGAAAACATCTATGTCCATACTGTGGATGGACGAAATCCTGCATCACTTTGCGACCATGGGAAGCCATTGTTGGTTGGTAAATACAGAGGAATCATCATGCCAGAGCTTCTTAGGTGGTGCAGGATTTCGTCCATCCACAGTAGGAGTGATGGATTCCACGACATGGCCGCAAACAGGCGGGACCGATTTTCTTTCCATCATGCCAAAGCCTGAGTGACTCGATTCGGGATTCGGCCGGCTCCATGGCGGCTCGGACAAGCAAAGTTGTTCAAAAAATGCTGACGGACTGGCGCGGCGGAACTTAGAACGTGGACATGGTGCCTTGTCTTGTTTGAAGCTGTGGCTTCTACAAAAAAAATGGCAACCAACAGTAAAACAACCCCCCCCCACCTAATTACTGAAAACTGAGACCACGACACAGTCCACAAAGGTGTACAGTGTACCCACCACCACCTACGATTTGCCCTTAGGTCTGCAGTTAGTGGTCAGCGGCCACACAAACCTCAACATATATGAAAGCCCCACTGGCCGTCGAGAATGAAAGAATACTTTGAACAAGGTGCCTCAAAACAAGTGCCGATTGAAAACGTTAACGCCCCAATCCCCCTTACCTTCTGGGGAAGGGGGGTGGGGGGTACCCCAATTTCATTTCCGCAGTGGAAAATGGAACCATACATGAAATTCCAGGGGTCACCCCCTCCCCCAATTCCATTCTCGGGGTGGGAACATGCCCCATCTGAGCGAGTCACCCGAGTTTGACTACGAAACACCCACACACACCACAAAAAGCAGGCATATAATGAGCCACCAGACCAAACCAGCTGGAGCCAGCTGGAATGGAGCACGTCTCATAGCCGCCCCCCGGCCTGGAGCTGGAAGTTATCCATCTTGCGCTCCGTGCTGGTCGTCGCCGGGATCGCGCTCCCCGGGATCTCGGATCGCTTCGCTGCGGTACGGAAAATTTCCGGGGGCAGACCGAGGACCCCGTGGACCAGAAGACCCGCAGAGACACGCTGAGCCTTTTAAGGGGCCATGACGAAAAAGGGGGGCCAGGAAGGAGCAAGCAAGAGGTAAAACACATGGGCTGTGGGCAGGTGTTCAAGTGAGAGCAAGGCGCCCCATCACAGTTGGGCTAGATCCTTCATGGGGCGGAAGGGATTTCCACGAAGACAGCAAGGCTGAAGGTCTGGCAGGCCCAAATTGACCTCGACCTCATGCGGCCAGAGGCAAGTTGAGTGGCTGAAAGCCAAACTACTTGGCCCCGTGCGGGGCATTTAGCTCTTCCGGTCCGAACAGCTTGAGGGCATCACCAAGGCTTGACATTGGAGAGTATTAGAGGGGTGCGTGCGCTGCAGCTGTTGGGGGGTATCTACCGTAGGACTTAGGGCCACTCCAAAATGGTGTGAAAAGGTGACCTCAAAGGCGTCAGCTAGTTTGGTAGAGAGTCCAGGGCCACCTCTCACCGAACTCTGCAAGGGGGAAAGGCATGCTCCCTATGCCCAAGCCGCAAATCACGTTCCAGTCCCCTGGGCAGTCGCTGACCTGGCTTCCCCCTTGGCTAAAGGGCTGCCTCTTCAACGCCCGCTAGGACGCCTCCCAAATCCCGTTGCTGCATTTCTTTCCAAAAATCAATTTTCGTGCCCAAGTTTTGACCCCCGCCCGCCCCGCTCCCTCCATCAAAAATGACGAAAGCCAGCACAGTCGAGGAACGCCCTGGGAACCACAGGCACTTCAGCGATGCTGAGCCCGCAGCACAGCGATAGGTGAGGCTCACGAATTTCCGCAACTGCGCGGCAAGCTCGCGGAAGGCTCGCCGAAAGGAGAAACCAGGGACCATGCCGCAAAACCGTAGAATGTTAGAAACCCAAGCATGGAAGTGGACGATAGCCATGGCCTTCAGGAATGCCATGAGGAATGCTTCCCATAAACCGGATGATCTCTGAGGGATGGGCGAAGTGCTCCCAAGCTTTGCTCGCCCATTCTGATCAACTCTGCTAAAAATTCTGGGCTGCCCTCAGACAGATCCCCCGCTAAAAGTTTGATTTTTGCTGGGTTAAATGGCAACTACCACTAGACACGAAAAAACTAAAAGGCTAAGGAGATGGCTGGGAGCCACCAAGTTCTGAACCGTCTTCCAAGCAAAAGGAAGCCCGCACATGACCACACATGCCAGGACAAGAATCGACAAGTGGCACTGAAAACCGGCCATCCAATAAAGCCAAACCATGCCAAAAAACGGGGTGCAGCTTCTAGCTGGAACATACAGTGGTTGGAGGAAATCCATTTCGCACCAGCTAAGAAACCTGGAATGATGATTCCACTGTACATACCAACCATATATTATGGTTTTCCATGGGTTCAAAGTGGTGAGTACCCCTCATGTGCGATCCATTTCTTCGAGTGTCCTGTGGCCTAGGTCTGCGCTGTACCTGGGCTGTCCCAGAAGCAAAGTATCTTCTGCATCTTCTTGGCAGCTCAGCACGTAACTTCATCATATGATCTTTCAAAGCTGGCTCGGGCCCGAAAGACCCCAATCCCTAAAGACACAAAATCGCATGGCAGCCAGAACAGCTGAAGCCAAGAAGAAAACTGCTACTGTTGCCCTGCGTGGCAGGCGTGAAACGGGCATAGGACGCGGTCCCAGCTTTGCAACTGACATGGGCTGTAACTGTACGGTCCAGCAACTCGTGTCAAGCGAAGAAAGAATTTGAAAACCACCCAAGGTCTGTGAAGCAGACTGAATCTGCCCTCACTTCGCCGTCGTCTTCTTGCGCATGGCCTCCAGCTCCCCGTCAATGCCGGAGAAGCCGGCTGGCAAGGCCTTTTGGCCCTTGAGCTTTGCGAGCTCATCCTCCACTGCACTTCCGGCTTCCAGCTGCTTGAATCGATCCTCCAAGCTTCCAGACGTCTGCGCTTCAGGCAGCAGCCCCTCTGAAACCTCCGCGCGGTTCTCCAGAAGTTCCACCTTCTCCTTCATTCGCTCGAAAGCGCCCGTGGAACCAACGCTGGTGAGATCAGACAGCATCTCGTTCACCTGCGAGGTTGTCTTGGCAGTCCTTGCTCTGGCAATGAGCTCTTCCTTCTCCTCCTTGGATATTGCGATCCTTGCCTCAAGCGCCTTCACCGAGTCAAAGAGCTTTTCAACGCTCACCGTCATTGCGTCGATCTGCGCCTGGAGGTCATTGACCTTGTTCACTGCGCGTTGCCGACGAGCCAAAGCTTCCTTCGCAAGCTCATCGTCGCCTTTCTCAACTGCCAGCTCCGCCCGGCGATACCAGTCCAAGGCAATCCGGTCCTCCTGCTGCTTCTGGCTCTGCAACTTCCTCTGGGTTGCAAGCACCTCGGCATACGACTGCCTGACTCTGATGAGGTCACCCTGCATGTCATCCAAGGCTTGGTCCAGCACCTTCTCAGGATCCTCGAAGCCTTGGAGTACCTTGTTGACATTCGCCCTCGCCACGCGCGCAAAGCGCTCAAAGAAGTTTACCCCAACGTAGCGGACCGTGGGTGGATTGGACCTCATGGACGCCCTCGGCAGTGGCCGTTGGCCCACAAAGGCAGGGGAAGATGTTAGGCACGCCGTGCATAGACCGCCTAGAAGCAGGAGAAAAGCGCTCGGGAGCAAAGCGCCGCTTCGCCGGCCGGTCATGCCCACCATGTTGGCAGCTGTGGTCACGTCTCTGAGCCCAAAAAAATACTCAAACGGCACACACATTCCAGGGAGCAACGTACCCTCAGTTCAGCTGGTTTATGGAACCTGAATTCTGGAGAACCTGCCAGGAGAGTACTTTGCCCTGAAATCATGCTCCGCTTGACCCTTTTGGAAGTAGCCTTCGCGGTGCAGCGTGAGTGGGGCCTACCGGAATGGCTTGATGATAAGCATCATGTTTGAGAGTCGCACGCCATGTGCAACACAAAGAAGAGCCATCACACACCCCAACAACCAAAAGGCAATGCATGGCAGTAGAGGAGGCTCAACTGTATCGGGCGAGCGGCTAGCGGCCAGCACGAAGGCTCAGCAACCAACCAGTTCTGCCCGGCAAGTAAAAAACAGTTAGCATGGTTAGAAGCAGCGTCGCAGGGGAGGCATTCGCAGCCGCAAACCGCGCCTCAGAGAGGGCCCTGGACAGCTCCAACTGGACCTGGCGCGAGGGATGGACTGCAAGCAAGGCTGAAGCTATACCAGGTGGGATAGAAGATTTGACATGGGCTAGCACCGCAGGGCAACACATGGCCGGCCTCGCTCAACAGGTTTTGGGAGGGAAATAACAACTTGTTCATTACCTTCGTAATGGAACCCCGGAACAAACCCCTGATTGATTGCTAGGGGGTCACCTTTTGGTGGGGATTCATCACTTTTGGAGGGAACACCCCCTGACCATGGGCTGGGGTTACTAGGCGGGACACCTGAAACAAACTCGAGCATGACATCTCTACCCTGTGGCTTGGAGGGCTTGTGGAGGCGCCAGCACGCAAGCCCGAATTTGGCCAGCATCCACGCCAGTCAAAATTGGAAGGGCGTGCAAAGTGAAAAGCCATATTGCATGCGTCGGTCGACCCATCAAGTACTTGCGAGTGTCATTCAAAGAGGCCCATCCCACACTTTGAATCCCGAAGAAACTACAGCGTTTGATATGGGTGTGTGTGTGTGTGTCTTTGTTAGGGGAACCTCCCCCCCCCGACGCCCAAAAAAAAGAAAGAAGAAGCAACAAAAACAAACAAAACACATCTGGCGGCTTTTCGTTTGGGTTTTCCTGCAGCACCACATGAAAGTTCCCATCAAAAGCAGACGCACCCGTATGCTTGGTCCTTCCAACATTGAAGCCCCTCGTGCAGTTCGATGCAATCCGGGAGATGAATGACCTTCAACTTTGCAACGCGTGGGTACCGTTATTTGCGTGGGTTTGTACGCAAGTAAGATCAAAAACCACCTGTTGGTGGTCCCCCAAAACAACAACACCCACATGGTATGAATCTTGAGTGGGCACCCTTTTGCGGGCATCATTTACACAGGAATTCGTGTGAACTCCACCTTGGGAAGAAATAACCCCGTCCTGTTCATTGCGGGGTGTTCCCCTCTGAAAGTGGTCTGATTCCCAACTAAACCCAGGGGCACCTTTCTACTAGTGAACTGCGGTTGATTCATCCGGGGTTCCCATTGCTCCCCCTGAACATTGCCACAGTGCCCTCAATGCCGGCCTGGGTCGTCTCCTTCTTGAGTGTCTGGCCACACCACGGCCCGGTTCTTCCCCCGACGCGCAATTGGTTTTGTTCCGGAACGAAAACAAACCACATGGAGGCCAACAAAAATGGTTTGCGGTCCTCCATTTGCAGATGCGCCCCCTCAAACAGTGGCGATAGATTCAAAAGGGGGCAAGTACAAGAGGAAATTGTTATGGTTTCTTAGTTTCCTAAAGTTTCTCAGGGTTTCTGAGGATTCCTTAATACACACCGAAAACCCCCCTTCAAAAAAGTAATAAGCCATGGCAGGGGCTGACATGAGGCCAGGTATCCCCAGCGGCACTCCAGAAAGCCTCCTATAGCACGGCAAATCTCACTCACGTGGGTATTTGTTTGGGTAAAACCCGTCTAAACCAGTGGAACCCGTCTAAGTCTACCCAAAGTAACCCAAGAAGGACGCCGATCTCAAGACATCGAGCGGGTTCCAAGCGGCCTTGCTTTGGGGGGGGCTCCGAATGCGAATGATTCGGATGGGCAATGCGTTCGGGCGAGCCCGGGCTCTTGGCTTGCCATGTTGATCGAGGGTGCCTCTGTTTGCCTTGGGAGGAGGCCAACAAGAAAACCACCCGTTTTGGGGGTCCATGTAAGTGTGGCTGGATTGGTCAGGACGAAACATCGACTGCCGACCTTTTTGGTTAAGTGCATCCAGAAAATGGACGTGAGACAAGCGCCTCGAGCGCGCCTCGCAAATGTTCTTGTGAGTCTCCAGATGCGCTCGTGCCTGGCGCAGTGGCCCAAGGCCCCAAGTGTGGCACCGCTGGCCTTGCTACCGATGATGGGTGATTTGCATTTGCAGTCTCGTTGAGTGACCTCAACTTCGTGAGTTGGCCACAACTGTCTGGCTGAGTGGGTGGCCCCAAAAAAGTCCAAACTTGTTGTTTACCACTAAAATGGTCTTCCCAAAAAGTTGAAAGTTCATGAACTCAGGAAGTGAGACAACTGTCTGAAGTTCCCTTTGGGCCGCTTTCAACTCGCTTTAACAGGGCCTCCCAACGTAGAGGTCAAATTTGGCAAGCTGGCTGAGCCCACCTAGCCACAAACCCTGCTGCCGCAAAAAAGCGTAGATGTATCTAAAGCAATCATGCATGTCCCTCCCCTGAGTACTCATCCATGGAGGAAATGCTCAATGATTGTCACCAAATGCGACCAGGTTCACCTCTTGACTTGCCCAAGCCAAGAGTATTGGCACTTCTCCGTGGTTCACTTTGAAGCCACAAGTTGCCAGCGCTGATCCAAGCGGAAGGGGGATGAACAAGATCACTTCAAACGAGATTGGCCACGCTGAGGCAGTTTTCACCTGTCTTCTGGGTCACTTGCTTCGGACATAGCCGTTCCGCACAGGTCCCCCTTGGAGCCACACAGGGCATGGCTGCACTTGCCCCCGGAAGACAAACATGTGGCTGGGACCCTGCGCTGTCAAATCGTGAACACCCTATCTGACGCTTGGGGGGTTGGATAACAAGGTACCTGAATCCTGCCCATCGATTTTGCTTAAGTCCCCTGGAAAAACTAATAATACTATTGGATCATGAACCGGCTACCGTAAGTAGCAAAAGCCGTACTTTGGGGTCTCCTCCAAGGGTGGGTGCTGTAGATCCCCCAGCAAAAAGTCTAATTGTTTGCTGGTTAAAAGGAAGTATTAAAAAAGAGAGGTTAAAGTCTAAAGATCCAACCCTTTAGCGGTAGAGCAAAGGAGTAGCAAAAGTTACAAACGCCTTCATTTGGGGTCTCCTCCAAAGGTTGGGGGTAAGCCTCAATTGAAATCCACTGAGCCACTGCCTGGTGCAGTCTGGCATCGAGCTTCTTCAGGTTCATCGCCACCGTGTAGCTGTGCTTCGCCTTGCACTCGCCTGGAGAACGGGTCCGAACCCGGCACCGGAGGACTACCTCATGGGCCACTCACGGGCATGGGTCAAATTTGGGGAGACACCCAAAATGGGGGGGAGTCCTTTTGATTTGGCCTCCCAAAATCAGAACCACACCCTTGAAAGACAAACCTGGCAAATGGCCTGTGATTTCGAACCATATGGCACATGAACCGACGACCACCCCTCCGCGAGACTGAGGCTGCGGAGAGTCTCCTTTGGGCCCCGGATCCTCGGTCGCCCTCCAAGCGAAAGGCTTCCAAACACTTCGGCGATCAGCTACTCTGTATGTGGTTGGTGGTGTGGGATATGGCCGGTTCTTGTATAAATGGCTCATAGCCGGGGCGAACAACTCGCCGGCTGCCTCCTGAAGTAGTCTTGCACAATGGGCCTGCCAACCTTTGTGCAACTTCCCTTCTGGCAGCTGCCAAGGGCGGATGATCCGCCCCTCATGAAGCTGCAGCTGGGGAAACAAAAGCACACAACAGCATCTTCCATTTGCTTAAGTCCCCTGGAAAAAAAAAACACACAAAAAAAAGAACAATATTTCCAGTAGTGGTAGATTCCCTTTAAACCCAACAGGGGCAAACATATTCTTAAGCAAATGGAAGACATGTATTTCTTGCTCACCCCTGGCGCCCAAAAAAAGGAAAAACCACTGCAATGCCTAGGCATGGGCCTCAAGCCCATGGATGAGTATGACGCTCCTATGGTGCAGAACCGCACCCCATTAGTTCGGCCACCGCGATCAAAACACCAGAAGGAAAAACCTAACATCACATAGAGCACAGCTCTGCCACATGCACATGTGGCACATGACATATACACATGCGTGCTTCAAGATACAGCATGTACTTAATCGACTTCTATACGATGAGCTTCGTCAAATATGTCATATCCAAATGCAAATGCACGCGTGCACACTAAACGTACAGCTACAGATATGTGACAACTATACACAACAAATATGGACACAAATGCAACTGCTGATACACTTATTCAGTGAAAGTACAAATGTTGTAATTTGCACTTGGGAAGGGCGGCGAGTGCAACATATACAGCTATCCGAGATCAGGCATGACTGCGTAAAGCTACATCGGCCGGGGCCTTTGAGGGCGCGAATCTGCGATGCGAACTCCTCCTTGTCAATCTCGGGAGGGAAGTCCAAGTACCTTTGCTGCAGGAACACAACACCAGCTCAGCCAACTGCCACGTATCTAGCCACGCCCAGAAAACAATGCATGTAGTGTATACGTTTGACATCTTTGCTGAGCTGCGCGTGTCCACGTAGATAATCGCATGCATACATGCCCCGCCGCCCTTTTTTCTGCCCAGGGGGGGCTTTGAAGGTCGTGGAGAACATCTTGGGCTCAACGAGCAAGATACGTGGTTAACTGGGCACCTTCAAACGGAGACGCCAGCTGTTCCACGTTCCACGTGACCGGTGACCAGCAAACAGCAAAGGGGCTTCAAAAAATAGAAGCTTGCGAAAGCTGAGACTTGGCAAAGCAAAAGCCTCTATCCACTTGGAACTCGTTGCTGTAGACCCCTCTGCAAGAAGTCATAAGCTTTTTGTGGGTACAATCCACTGTTTTCCGCAAAGGAATGCTCGTCCCAGTGCTGGAAGAGATAGGCCCCCGCAACAAGCGACAATGAATGCTTAGGCCTCTCAGAAACGCAGGCATGCGGAGAATACCGCAACAAGTCATGCTTGGCCTCCGATCGCATGGGCATGCGGCTAAGCCCTGGAAACACCTTTGGGCGGCGTGCGATGCATGGGCAACAGAAAAACCGGTTTGGGCCGGCTCTTCAGGGCTTCCATTTCAGAGTCAAAGAAAAATGGGTGCCATCTCACGGCCCGAATGCATGGAAGGGCCTTGCAAATGCAAGCAGACACACAAACAAACCGACCAACCAACCAACCAACCAACCAACCAACCAACCAGACAGACAGACAGACAAACAAACAAACAAACAAACAAACAAACACACAAACAAACCAAACAAACCAAACAAAGCAGAACAAACAACAAAAACAGGCAAACAAAACGCGCTCGCGCACACACACACACACACGCGTGTAAACAAATAAAAAGGAAATGTGCGCCTTGCATGGCAAGCAACTTCCACAGATTTTTGATCTCGTCCTCTTCCAGGTTCACGAGCTTCAACTTGGTCCACCTCGGTGCGATTCGGTGCGTCAAGCGAAGTGCGCGAAGTGCCGAGGCACGGCTACCGCGTGGGGCGGTCTGGCCAACCAACCAGCCAACCAACCAACCAAACAACCATCCATCCGTACGTCCGTCCACCTGGTGGGGGAGCATTGTTGCATGTCTTTGGTGGCTTTTTGCCATGGATAGTTTGCCGGCCTTTGGGTCTGCTGCTTTGGACGTTTCAATCCAGGCATTGGGCTAAGCTTGGCACAGCCAATGGCCCATGGCTTGGCTACCCTTGCTGAAACTGAGCGATATGGGACACTGCAGGGGAAGCCATGACCGTCTAGCATTAGGATTTTGAAACATTAAAAGATCCCTATTAATAGCGGTCAACCAAAGGAAGCAAACAAATCCCCATGAAAGTAGCGGGGGAAGTGGGGAGCCTTAATGAACCACTTGAAGAAAACGGCGGCAAGTGGTTTGAAGCCTCGAAGTTCCCAAACGAGGAAATGCCAGATGCGCTGGGAAGGACCCCGATCCAACCATGGATCTACGTATGCAAACATACATGTGGAAATAACTATATACGTATATGTATGCAAATGCATATACATATAGATAGTATGTTTATATAACATTATGGGAAAGTGCAAGGTTTCATTGGCGGGTGCTTCGGTCAATAAAAGCATGCCGGGCCACCCCTCCCCCCCCCAAAAAAAAAAAAAACGTTGGGTCAGTTGGTCTTTTGCCGAGCTTCAAGGAAGGATGGTTGCTCTCAACGGCCAGGTCGTAATCCTGGCAATAGCGGGGAGCCGAACGGCTTTGGCCCCACATGCTCCGAGCGCAAATGCCGCAACTCAAGCAGGCCGATTGGAAAATGAGGCGTGCTAATGATCGAATTGGCTGGCAGCCGGGGTTTCAGCTGCATCGCTCTTTTCAAGACAGTGAGTAGCAGGGGTGCGAACGAAATTAAAGCCCGGGATTCTTGAAGGGCAATATTCAAAAACGCATGTTTTTATAGTAATGTTCCCCAAAAGACAACTCGCGCAATGGGGGATTCCTCTCGATCGGCCAGATTGCTTCTTGAAGCATCCAAAGTCATTTTGCAACGGAGATCCTGCACTTTCCCCTAAACGTTGACTCAGTGGCGGTAGGATGCGTGTGTGTGTATGTCTTGTTTTGAGGTTACCGTTTTCAGGGTTGGTTTGCCAGTTTTCTGGCTCCCACATTTTGACACATGGGTCATATACCCTCACCACTGAAAGCCTGAACGCCTAAACGTCCATGCTTGCTTCGAAGACGCACCTGCCATTCGGATAGCGTGCCTCATGTGCCGCGTGGCTTGGCTTTGGGGCAAAACCTGTCGGGAAGCCTTTTGCCACGACAGAGCTGATCCGGGCCCAAACCGAGACTTACAAAGGCAAGTCCCAAATTCCAAAGACAAGCCTTTCGCCATTCACGGCGCCACAGGTGGCATCCATGACAACGGAAGGTCCTCTTGAGTGAGGTACTTGGGCTCTTCGGATTCCTCCTCTGATGGGTGGATCTCATCAAAGAGAATCCTAGCCGAAGGCGTGTTCCGAGCAAGCGTCCGCAGTGCCAAGTGGCCAAGTGACCAAGTGGGTGTGGTTCCTTCTTTTTCGGGGACCCCAAAACAACCAACAAAGGGTACACTCAACCGTCACCCGAGATTGGAATCCTATGGCTCTTTGACATGGTAGTCCATGCAAAGTGGATCTCAACCTTCATTGCTCGCTTCCCCCGGAAAACAACTTCACCATACTTACACATATCCTGTATCATTATCCCGTCCAGCCAGGGAATCTCACTCGTTGGGGGCTTGCTAGCACAATGCAAATCCTTCTGTAGCTTCAGACTTGATCACACATGAACAGTTCAATGGCATGATTCTAATTGCGCCACCCTATGTTCAATTGCCAACATCTGCCCAGCCAGCCATGCTACACAATGCGTATTTCTTTGCAGGAATTGGCCGGGATGACGGCATTTATTGCCTGCACCAGCCGAGATGAGTCGGACAAGGGCCGAAGTGGAACCCTCAAGGGCCCTGTAGGAAACGTCACGCACGGCCCAACAGCCAATTCCCACTAGCTGATCTGGCTGAACAGGCACTTCCATGACTGGGAAACCCTGGTGAGATCTGGTGAGCGAGTGCTCCTCCCTGGTCTTTCTTTTTGAAGCTAAACCGATGTTGGGGTTGAGACGGCATGTCTGATGTCAGGTTGCCCCCTGATTCCATGTTCCTGTATGGAAGGAAACCAAGGGAACCTCCCCCAAGCTAGCGGGGATGGACGGTTCGCTATGGACAGGGCTAACTGGGATTTGGGATCACCTTGGAAGCCAACCTTCCTCTACTACCACCCCCCCCCAAAGAAAACAGAAGGCCAGATGGTGGAATCATCTGAAGCTGGTCAGTTCTCTGGTCGACGTGACGAGCTGAAACCCGGCCCGGCGGCTCCTCAGATCATTCATCTCTGCCTCGGTGGTTTCGCGGGCGATGGATGCCTGGAGCTCCTCATCCTGCGAAGCTTGGAGCGAGCACTCCGCGGCGAAATGCGCCCGCGCCGTTTGTGAGGCTCGGTACCCCCTTGTTTGGTGGTTTTAAAGGGACGGCCAAAAGGAAAAACCGTTTTTGGGTGGCCAAAAGGAAACCCACAATTATTTGGTGTTTTTCTTTAAAGAGGCCAAAAAGGAAAACACGATTTCTGCGGGGCCCCCTGAAAAAAAGACATACCCGAATCGGGCCCCATGGTCCAAAAATAAGCTTCAGCCGAGTACAAAATAGGGTGTCATTCACTGTACGAGTTGGTCCGTTGATTGATCCCTTAAACTTAGACTTTTAAACACATATGCCCCAAATCCACGTCTAAAGACAGAGTCTAAGGGAACGGCTTCAAACCAAGGCAAAAGCTTCATGAAGATATGCAGGCTTGTCAAGGCGTCAGAAAAGCTTTCTCAAGCAGGACCTGTGGGTGGTTGTGACATGTCCTGAACCTCGACTGAATAACCAAATTTTCGGAAGATGTGGGCGAATTTTTGGCTTTGCTGCCTGTGAAAAGTGCGCATACAACCACAATCCCCCTGTTTGAATCGACTCATTCGGTGATGTTGATCGCACCTGACTTCCTTCAGTTGGGTTGAAGAAGAACCGACAATTCTCCGGAGCTTCTGGGAGGTTACACATCAAACGGAAGCAAAGCCCCAACGCACATTTTAAGCCAGCAAGCCTTGCCAACGCCTCACATGTGTGGGTGCGTGTCAAGGACACATGTGGCGATTTGGCAATGAAATGAGCCATGGGTGTCGCTATGATTGCGCCACCCCCACTCAAGATACTTGTTACAAGAAGGGGGCCCACAAATTGTGGTTTCCCTTTTGACTTCCCTTTCAAGTTAACCTGACAGGTAGGCACTGGCTCGGGATCCATCTCTTCCACTACTGGCTGTGCGACATAGGCGCTGGCCTGCTCTGCTCGTGCAAAGGCATTGTTGACAATGACCGCAATCACCAAGTTGTTCAGAACCTCGGCAGCTCAGCCCCGATCCACAGCTGTTGGATCCTCTGTGCGGGGCTTGATGGGGTTTGCTTTCGCCATCTCTTGCGACCCCTTGATCAACTTTGAACATGCCCCTACTTGCCCCACACCTTTGACTCGCTAAAATTGGTGCTTTAAGTTAAACAAGTGCCGCTAAACCACACATCTGACCAATGGCAAAGCGCAAAACTTCACTTTCAGAAAACCCCCGTAACTTCCTCTGGGGCTGTCTTTTGTTACCCCTAAACCTTGACATTTTGTGGTTGGTGGGTCCTAAAAAAGAAGGAACAGCCTTGCTTCGGGGAGAATTGTAAAAAATGGCATATTCATTGCCTCAATGGGGGATACATACGGATGGGCAAATAAACGTCGACCTTTTGGGCCCATGACTATGGACCAAACAAGGCGAAACAAAAAGGTCAGATCCGGTCGATGCGCTTGCAAGTGACAAGAGGGCACTGAGGTCTGGGATTTTGCGCCGACTCGGCCCGACTGGCTGGATGACTCTCGACAGAGATTTCAGGCCATGGCCATGCACGCGACGGCCACATAGAGCAGCCACAGCACGCCGATGACTGGCCTGGGATGGGGGGGGGGGGCCGCGGGGGGGGGGGGGTTCGGGGGAGAGGGGACTTGATTGCTTTTCAGAATGCAGGGGTCACTGGATTTCCCCAAATGAAAGGTTGCCACTCATTTGTGATTTCCATTGGAACGATCGCTTCTTTTGCAGGTTCCAAGAACGGAAATGGAGGAAACCGGCCAATGCAAGGGGTGTTAAACAAGTAGAATAGGGTTTGGGGGGGTACCCTGAAACCAATTAATCCCGGAATGAAACGGAAACCAACATGACAGTCAGCATTTCGACCATCTTTCAGACACACCCCCACATGATGTCGAACGTTCCCTTGACTTCCCTGCAAAAAGGCTCAAGCCTGCTTACCTGCTTTTTGGAATCAGGTCTGCACCAACCAGACTCGGACCTGCATCGGATATCTCAGGAACATGGAGCAAGGGAGACCACCAAATGGCCCTCAAGGACTGGCTTCCGGGACCCCCGGCTGGTCGATTTGCAAGATTCTGCTGAACCCCGTCCAGCTGTCCAGCGTCAGGCACTGGCCGAGAGACAACAAATCGGGAACAGCCCATGTCCAAGTGGGTTTGTGGTTTCAAACGAAACCAAGCGGACCCCACTTTGTCCCCAAAACAGATACAACCATTCGGAAAACACGGTGGATGATGTGATGTCAAAATGGGCCAGTTGAGCGCGGGTGCCCTTAGCATTTCTGCAAGCGGCTCTAGAACCCAATCGTCCACAACCATCTCTTAATCATCCCAACAGGGGTTTTGGACGACCACGTCCATCCCATGTTTCACCAAATTGACCTGGACACCCATGGTTTCTCCGCCAGCCTAGAAACCCATAATTAGCCACGGACACGTCTGACGGTGGGACTGAGGGCTTCCCCCCCCCAGGCCCACACAACGAGAGCCGGCGAGCTATCAAAGTGGATATGTGAGTCCCACCCTTGTGCCCTGGATAGCCCGGGGAGACCTCCGTTTTCGAGCAGGAAGAGTGTTTCTTCGGCCCTGAAGGCGACTGGGATGCGCAGGTTCGAATTTTTAATGCGACGCGAATTGAAAACACCGCCGTTGCTGCCGATCTGCTCAGCTCAAAGGCCCCGAAAACATGCCACTCCTCGAGACAAGGTTGAACCGTGTTTTTTGCCCGGCATCCATTGCCTCGGCGTGGAATCCCCCCGAACTGTTGAGAGAAGTCCATTGAAGCTGTCTCTTGCCTTTGGGCGCTATACTTGGTTGAAGGCTGCCAAAGTCATCCACGGAGCACTTACACATCGGATTAGCCCGTTTGTTTTTGTATCCTCAGTTCTCCCATGCACCACACAGCTCTAATCATTTTGGGTTCGGAGCGTCGCATCCAGGGACGTGGTGGTTCTTAAAAACGTCGTGACCCCTTTGAGTGGATTGGCCAAACAAAGCAACCGTTGTCTTTATTTTGCCACTAACATGGTCTTCCCAATACGCTTAAAGTCCCGGAACTCAGGGAGTGAGCTAGTGATCGACGCTGTCCCGCCTGAAAGAGGGTGAACATGGTCTCTGGAACTGTGGTGAAGTAGAGCCGGACGAGCTGCACGAGACCGGCTGAAGGCTGATCCGCGGTGGCGGGCTCACGTGGGGTTGACCTATAGCCGTTTCAGACTGGTAGGGGGAGGGGATAAACATAATCCCTCCTCTCACTGCCAAACTGGCAAAGGACCATGACAAGCGCGAGAATCGCAAACCTCATGATGCAAACCCGCTCCAACCCGGGTAGTCTTAATGGCAAACTGCTTTATACTGCCTTGCGGCACTTACCATTGAAGTTCTTCGCTTCCTAGGCCACTTAGGCCTCTGAAGGCATTAGCACAAATCGCTTTTGGCGAGGGGACCCGAGAAAGCACGTTTTGGGCCAACCCCCCCCCTTGCAAGCAACGAGTAATCGGGGGGGGAAGGGGGGAGAAGGGGAGAGGGTTACTTGTTGAGGGCCCTTGGGAGACAAAGGTGACGGAACTCAGGTAGAGTTGCACATGAAGCACCCTGATTGCAAGAGGAATGAACCTCTGGGCACCATGCGCATGCACCCATGAAATCGGAACCGGAAGCCCAGCCCAAGCCAACAGCCATGCTGGTAGCAGGCTCAGGTGCAGGTTATTGTCGGGCAAGTTGGTCATAGCGGCCTTATTGCGGCCTTTGGCTGCGTTGGGTGTCCGAAACGTCGCAAAGCTTCAAATGTGTGTTCCTCAAGCCCTGCGCACAACAGCGGGGACAAGCCACGCCTCGTTCTGTTCCTCAGTCAAGGCCAAGCCAGAATGCACCAGCAGCTGCACAAAGAAGATAGAGAACCTGAGGCTTAGGCAAGTGAGACACACAGTGGTACTGGGCGAAGACGTCTTGTTCCGGCGGAAAGGGGCAACTTGTACAGTCTACGAATGCGTGCTTGCACTCATGGCAGGAGTCCCCCTGATATTGTTGCTCAACAACTTACATACTTCTCAACACTGTCACCAAGCATTAGGGCAGGCCAAAAAAGTTGCAACTGATACAAACTGTGAGGAGTACCAGAGGTCACTTCATTTTTTGAGCCAACTTCTTGACCGCATATTGCCATTGGAATAAGTTGCCCACCCTTGCAATATGCACCGCTGACGCGGCACGCACCAACCCCAAATCTGAAGAGTTGGGCCGAAGGAATTGTCTGAGGCCCGCACATGTAGAGGACCACTGTGATGATCGTAAGCGTCCAGAGCAGAATGCGGCCACTGTCTACGATGCCACTGACCTTAGTCAGGTGCCATCCGCAAAAAAAAGGCCGGCCACCACAAAGATTGGGTCCCAAGATTCGTGAATCACAGAGACGACATGGGACAAAACAGAGTTAGGCTAAGAACGTTCCTGTCAGCTTAAATCTGGCCACATGGGACCTTCGAATTGGGAGCTCAGCTACTCGAAGGGTTGGTTCTTGGTTAATTACCCGCACGCGGCCTCCCGTTCACCGCACACAACGCGTCGGTTGGATGAGGTGAAGCTGAGCCGGGCGCCAGCGACCACAAGATTCTGAAGGCGCTGATAGTGCGCACCTCGGGACTGACAGGCTCACAACTTGTGGAGGCAAATAAAAAACAAGTTGGAACACCAACCCGGCGAATATGAGTTGAGGTCCATGGGTCAATATAGGATCTGCGCCTTCCAAAGCAATTGCGCGAGACCTGCCAAGGGCTGATTACAACACGCCTGTTCCGCTGGTCCGTCCACGGCAACACTTGCAAGCCGAACAAAGAAGTACTGGTTGGCACCTTGCCAGAACAACAAAACGGTGATATACAGCTGCGTAACCAACACAGGCAGGATCATACACCTTCATGCCCCGCAAGGTTAGACATGTCACAGCCGGGGTTGGTTCACTTCACCCATCGTCCTTGCATTTTGCCATGTGGGTACACAACAAAGCAAATATCGAAAAACCGCACAGCACGGGAAATCATGAGCAGACCAATGAAAACAGCACCCAGTCAATAGTTGTGCACAAATATGCACGATGCACTATGGAGAAACTGCGGGCAATCAACCATGAGAATGAACGCGTTCTTTCTTGGGTGTTTGATTGATTGTTTGCTTGCTTGCTTGATTGATTGGTTGATTGATTGGTTTGGTTGATTGATTCAATGCATGCATGCATTCAGAAGGAATGAAGGAGTGAATGAATTAAGAAAGGAAGGAGGAAGGAATTAGAAGGAAGGAAGGAATGAAGGAGTGAATGAATTAAGAAAGGAGGGACGGAAGGAAGGAAGGAACGAAGGAAGGAACGAAGGAAGGCAGGAAGGAAGAAAGGAAGGAAGGAAGGAAGGGGATGAATTGAGTAATGCAGGAATTGAGGAATGAAATAATGAAAGCAAGAAACAGTTCGTAGCAGAGCTGCATCCAACTCATCCAAGTCATTCGTCCGGATCTGAGATCTGATCCATCCGAATGGGGCGCCGGCACTCTTCAAGATGCGGATGAGGCGTACGCAGCGCAGGGCCTGGCCAATTCGGAGCTCTCCACCTGAGTTCGTTCCGGGATCGATCCGGTGGGGTCTTGGAGGCTCTGCCATCTTGAGCTTGGAATTGAAAGGGCCACCAAACCAAACAAAAAAAACACCCAGCCACTAGAATCGACTCCCTTTTTGGGACAACAAGGGGGAGCGAACGGTAGCCTTTTCATGGTTCCCCTTTAAGTCCTTTGCTTTTGGCCCGGATGGCTGCCGATTCTTTTATGTGGCTTCCCCGGTGCGGGCGGGTCGCCTGAAGGGGGCATGCAAGGAAACCGTGGTGCCTGGTCACGCTGGAAAAATGCCGGGTGCCCGTTTTTTGGGGGCTTCGAAGAGAAACCGAAAGGAAAACCACCATTTTGGATGGGGTCCCCCCCCAAAAAAAAAAACGCAACTGAAGGCATCCTCTCCATCTTTGCTGTGGCAACTGTTTGGACCAGTCGTGAAACCATTTCCTGCAGCTTTCCATTATGTTCCGTGATGCGGTGACTAACAAGTGAGTCACAATCAAAACCTGGTATAAAAATGGTCTAGCCCGAGCCATGTATTCCGCACCCCTTTCTTGCTGGGATTGTCCCTCACTACCCTCCAATTGCCCGGGTTTCGATGACTCAAGTGGCGCAGGTCTCTCTCTTCAGGCGTCTAGGCTGCTGGCTATCCACGTTGAAGAAAGGCTTCAGGATATAGCTCGGGACCACGCCTGCCCACACTAGTGTCAGTGCCCTTCACTCACCCACCCAACTGCAACTGAAGATTTTAAGGTATGGGTGTGTGTTTCTCCTGAGGGAACCCTTTTGGGTTGGCTTTTTTTTTTGCGGAAACCAAAAGGAGAAGCATCATCCTTGGTCTAAAAAGCGGTTTGGATGCGCCTTTTGTGGATTTCAGCGAGGAACCTTTTCGTACTCTGTTAATATTCTACAGGGGTGGATCCACAAATTCGCCACATCCGAACCCTTTTCCAGACGTGTTTTTTCCACTTTGTCACGCAAATGGAACCCTAGTAAGTGTACACATGGACCAAAACCTGCGGTCCCCTGGTGGTTTAATTTTGACCCATATCAATTCCTGCGAAGTCTCCAAGCCAGGCCAGGACTTTGCCCACATGGCTGTGGTTGTCAAAAGAAAAATGGGATCCCATTCTGGGGTTACGGTGCGTTCACCACCCATTTATGTTCACTGGGGGTACAGGGCTTTGACCCATGCCAACATTTGTGTGCTCAGCTGCCCCCCCCGCACCACAAAAAACACAAAAAACAGGGGGCCCCCTTTGTCGGCCGAGAACCGAGGGGGGTGTCACAAGCGGAAGTCTGCCTACAATTTGCGAGCACAAGCTCAAATTGAATACTGAGCCGCATAAACCAAAGCAACACAATTCTCAATTGTTCCAGTATTCCCTCTACTGTGGTTCAGTGGCGGCAGAGACTGCAGGCGTTGTGGCATAGGCAATCCACCACCGTGCTGCTCAAAGCTTGCCAGAGGCCAGAGAATCCCTCGTTGTTTGGCCTGATTAGTTGGGGCAAGAAAATTCTGGTGACACATGTTGAGTCTTGTTGTCCTGGCTGGGTGTCTGAGGGACACGCACCTGTAACCAGGATGAGTATGACGTCCACTGCATTGCCGGCGGCGAAAAACCTCGTTTGCGAACCGTCTGAAAAATGAGTCAGAATGCCAGCGGAATCAAAGCTATGGCGAGACGTTGAGAAAGAGTTGTCAAGCCCATGCTATGTGAAGGCAGTACGGCAAAGAGAACAGAAGGGAAAGAAGAGCTGGTAGAAACGCAGTGGCATATTGAGCGGCAAAAGGTGTGAAGAGCAGGGGGAAGAGCTGGGAAACGAGCGGGAAAAAGCGAGCTGCAAGAAAAAACACACGGGATGGGAGATGAGCCCAACTAAGGAAGATGCACACAAACAACAAGGGGAAGCAGGAACTGCAAAGACCGTGGCCCTTTTCACACATCAACATCTCCCTTACATCCACAAAACGAGAATATGGAAGAACGTTTGGGTAAGCGCTCACTTTCTCGAGTTGATTAGCCCAAACAAGTCTAAACGTTGCGTGTGCCCCTGTAAAGGAGTCCACGAACTCAAGTTGTGCAAGGGTCACGTATGGGATACTCTCCACCTTTACTCGAAAAGTGGGTTCCCTTTCCGTAGTCTTTATTCTAATTTCACTAAGCTCCTTGGAGAAGAAGGTTGCGCTAAATGTTAACTTAAGTTATTGTATTTGACTTGATTTCCAACTTGACTTTAGTTTAATACATGCAGCATTCGAACATAAGAGACATCCCATCATCTCACAGGAATCAAAAACACGGGCCGCATGTCGTGCAGCTCTCGTCAACTAGTAAGCTGGTTGTGCGAACACATATCCAAAGCTCAAGGAAGGGTGTGAGTGTGTGCGTGTGTGCGCGCGTGCGGGCGATTTTTATTGAAGGTATACCCCACAAAGACCAGATTTGGGGTTTCTTTAAGATGACTCCCTGTTATTAGCTCCCGACAAGCTCGGGGTGCGGCCAAATCCAGCCATCCGCCATTACCCGGAGGATGATCTCCAGGATGAAGGAAACCTCACGGCTCACGAAACATCTCAGGTTGGGGGGCGGCCCCACAAAAAAAGAAAAAACACGAAGAAAAAAAAAACGCAAAAAAAGAAGAAGAAGAAAACAGCAAAACAAAACACCATAAGGACGCCTATGCTGCCAACGACCAAGCTTGGCTGATGCATACGCCACTTTTCGCTTCCCGCGGGAACTTGTACAAGTCATTCATGGGGTCCGGCTTCGGCGTTGAGGTCTTTTAACCGAAGCTATCATTATGTGGTCTGGTGCGCTTGAACTCCTTTAAGAATAGTGGGGCACAGCTTTTTCCTCCAGGTGGGGCAAATTGTTAGTTGGGTTGCAGGAGGGTCGCCAGGAAGACTTGCTGTGAAGGGCAAACCCTTCTTCCCAGAGATCCTCCTGTCACCCCTTCGATTGGAAAAATCCGGTTGCCTGTTGCCACTCAACGCCGACCTCCCGAGAAACACCAGACCCACTCCAGAGCGGCCAGTTCGCCCCGCGGCCCTATCCCGAAAATTCGGGCGCCCCTGTTGCTGACCCTTTTTTCTTGTTTGTGCCCCTAAATCCGAAAGGGGATCCTTCCCTTGCGCCATGCGCGAAGAAGCAACACAAACACCTTGCGCCTTTTCGGCGTGCCGGGCCGGGCCGCGGAGCGAAGAGTCCGACCGCGCGTTGGTCCCGTAGTGCGACACACGATACCTCGATCGCTGCGTTTGCAGCAGAGCTCCCAACGAGCCCAACGAGCCCGAGGCACCTCCGCTCATGCGTCCGAATTAGACACCGCCCGTGATTTGTTTTTTTAACGGCCGGCGGGTGCACCCCACACATTCTGAGTCATCCATCTTTGTCTGGAGGGGAATATATGTGTGCCTTGGCACCTGCCGAAAACGACGTATTTTTGAAAAACAGGACAGACCCATTTGGGGAAACTCTGAAATGCCTAGCTCGGCCATGACATCTGCTTTGCCTAGAGGGAGTTACGCTGCCTGATCCACAGGACCTGCTGTGTTCCTCGTCATTGTCAATGGGTGACCCAAACGGCTTGGACAATTGGCGCCAGTCATCAAACATGAGGTCATGATCCGACTTCATAGGGGCCCATACCTATGCTTCACACATACCTCCTTGTCCACCTGTAAAAGCCATGGGCCATCTGGAAATTGAAATGGATGCCATCCAAACTGGGGGGGGTTATGCATAGTTGCAAAGCTCGTCCCTTGCTTATCCTTGCTTTACCAGCTTCACAACCACTATCTGGCGGGGCTGCAAAGTCTCACGGCGTGCACGTCGCGAGCGGGCGAGCCGATGGAAGTGACAAGGTGCCCCCGAGGCTTGGCCCGTTTTCAGGCCGGCTCAAGGGGGGTGCCCCGCCGGAAAGGTCACACATCCACTTCGCGCATGGAAAGTGTCTCAATTCGGCCCGTGTGTCCGGAGCAACCCTATGGCCTTCCATTGTGCACTCCCCTGATCGGCTCCAAGTTGAAAACTCGTCAAGCGAGCTTTCTTGCTTTTTGGTCGCACCCGCCGTGGCATGGGCGATGCGTTGCCACCCCTTTGGGTGGCTCACTGCGCAGCCACGTATGGATGGCACTCCTCGGCGAGTTGACATAAAGGTCAGACATAATCGAGCTACCGCCTAGGGATGAAGTTTGGCCTCTAACAGCGACGTGTGTGGTCGAGAAACACTCGACATATGCACAAACTTCTGCATGTACAACCATACAAACATACATACGTACATGCATGAACCATGACATTACATTACATTACATTACAGTTCATTACGTTACGTTACATTACATATATCATACAATACACTACATACATGCAGTGCATACACACGTATATACATATGTAAATAAATACATACATTACATACATACATACATACATACATTACATTACATTACATTACATTACATTACATTACATTACATTACATTACATTACATTACATTACATTACATAACATACATACATACATTACATACATACATACATACATACATACATACATACATACATACATACATACATACATACATACATACATACATACATACATACATACATACATACATACATACATACATACATACATACATACATACATACATACATACATACATACATACATACATACATACATACATACATACATACATACATACATACATACATACATACATACATACATACATACATACATACATACATACATACATACATACATACATACATACATACATACATACATATACATACATACATACATACATACATACATACATACATACATACATACATACATACATACATACATACATACATACATACATACATACATACATACATACATACATACATACATTACACATACATACATACATACATACATACATACATACATACATACATACATACATACATACATACATACATACATACATACATACATACATACATACATACATACATACATACATACATACATTACATACATACATACATACATACATACATACATACATACATACATACATACATACATACATACATTACATACATACATACATTACATTACATACATTACATACATTACATACATACATACATACATACATACATACATACATACATACATACATTACATACATTACATACATACATACATACATACATACATACATACATACATACATACATACATACATACATACATACATACATACATACATACATACATACATACATACATACATACATACATACATACATACATACATACATACATACATACATACATACATACATACATACATACATACATACATACATACATACATACATACATACATACATACATACATACATACATACATACATACATACATACATACATACATACATACATACATACATACATACATACATACATACATACATACATACATACATACATACATACATACATACATACATACATACATACATACATACATACATACATACATACATGCAGACATACATACATACATGCATTACATACATACATTACATACACTACATACACTACATACATTACATTACATACATACACACATACATTACATACATACATACATACATACATACATACATACATTCATACATTACATTACATTACATTGCATTATATCACATTACATTACATTACATTACCATGCATACATACATACATACATTACATTACATTACATACATACCTACATACATACATTACATACATTACATTACATTACATTGCATTGCATTGGATTGCACTTCATTACATACATACATACATACGCTACATACATTACATGTTACATACATACATACACTACATACTTACATACATGCATATATGGTCCCGTGTTCCTTGTTGCTACCCCCCCCCCCCCCCCCGATATGGTATGGTCCCCCAAGAGCCCCCCCCACCGGGCCCGAGACCCCGAGCCCCCGGATCCTGGCACCTACGGTCCCACCCCCACCCCGACCCCCTGAACCGCACCCAGAAACCCGGCACCCCCACCCCCAGGGCAAGCCAACCCGCAACTAACCATAAGCCAACCCTAAACTATCCCTAAACCAACCCTAAATACACCCTAAACCAAACCCTAAACCGTAGACCTCTAAACCTAAACCAACCCTAAATCAACATAAACCAACCCTAAACTAACCCTAAACCAACCCTAAACTAACCCCAAATACACCCTAAACCAATCCCTAAACAATAAACCCTAAACCTAAACCAACCCTAAACCAACCCTAAATACACCCTAAACCAAACCCTAAACCGTACACCTCTAAACCTAAACCAACCCTAAACAATCCCTAAATCAACATAAATCAACCTAAATCAACCCAAAATCAACCCTGAACCAACCCTAAATACACCCTAAATATACCCTAAACCAATTCTAAACCAACCCTAAACCACCACAACCCAACCACAGGACCACAACCACAGGGGGGGGGGGGGGGGTACTTGGCTGACCCATGACCATTGGGGGGGGAGGGGGGGGGGGGCTGGCAACGCTGTACCATATATACATTGCATACATACCTGCATGCATGCATGCATGCATACATACATACCATACATACATACATACATACATACATACATACATACATACATACATACATACATACATACATACATACATACATACATACATACATACATACATACATACATACATACATACATACATACATACATACATACATACATACATACATACATACATACATACATACATACATACATACATACATACATACATACATACATACATACATACATACATACATACATACATACATACATACATACATACATACATACATACATACATACATACATACATACATACATACATACATACATACATACATACATACATACATACATACATACATACATACATACATACATACATACATACATACATACATACATACATACATACATACATACATACATACATACATACATACATACATACATACATACATACATACATACATACATACATACATACATACATACATACATACATACATACATACATACATACATACATACATACATACATACATACATACATACATACATACATACATACATACATACATACATACATACATACATACATACATACATACATACATACATACATACATACATACATACATACACATTACATTACATACATTACATTACATTACATTACATTACATTACATTACATTACATTACATTACATTACATTACATTACATTACATTACATACATACATACATACATTACATACATACACTACATTACATTACATTACATTACATACATGCATACATACATACGTACATGCATACACTACATACATTACATTACATACATACACACATACATTACATACATACATTACATACATACATACATGCATACATACATACATACATTACATACATACACAAATACATACATTACATTACATTACATTACCATGCATACATACATAGATACATACATACATACATACATACATATATACATACATACATACATTACATACATACATACATTACATACCTTACATACCTTACATACATACATACATACATACATACATACATACATACATACATACATTACATACATACATACATACATACATGCACTGCATCGCATCGCATTGCATTGCATTGCATTGCATTGCATTGCATTGCATTACATACATACAGAGACACATACTTACATACATGCATACATACACACACACATAAATACATACATACATACATACATACATACATACATTGCGTTGCATTGCATTGCATTGCATTGCATTGCTTTGCATTGCATTGCATTGCATTACATTACATACTTACATACATACATTACATACATTACATTACATCATATTATATCATATACATTACGTTACATTACATTACAGTACTTCACATTGCATTACGATACGCTACATACACTACATAACATTGCATGACGTCACGATACATTACATTGCATTACATTACGTACAATACATTACATTACAGACGTGACATATGCTACATGCATACGTACATGCATTCATAAATGCAGTAAAGTACCTTGCATTGCATTACACTGCATACATGAACACATACATATAAGCATACATTACGTACATACATGCATACAACACAGCACAGTACAATACAATACAAGATATTACAACACAACACAACACAACAACATTTCACTAACTAAATCACAAGACATTACATTGCGTTACGTTGCATTACTTACATATACACACGCATATCATACTGCTTTACGTTGCATAGCATTCATAACCCCCTCCCCCTAATAAGAGTCCCCTGAATACTATCAATTGCGGCTTGGTTCAACGTCCAGGTGACGGCCATCGCTCACTTACAATAGCCAAACTTATGCGGTGAGGTTTGTGCCACAAAACCTCATGTGACCAACCCCACCGGGAGAACCCCCTGCGGAGGCCCCAACATTGACAAAACCCTGAAATGGAGGGCCTTTGCCGGGCTTCGCGCTTCGCCCTACGTGGAGGCTCATAGAAGCCCCATGCTGTGACTCCTCACTGTGAAAATGTATGTGGTCTGGAAGCTCCTGTATGGAGACATATGGAGACCCTGTGGAGACCTCATGTGGAAACCCGACACTTCAGGAACCTTGCCAACATGGGCAAAGTCCAAACCATGTGGATAACATGCAATCGTTCTCTGATTTTTCCAGCCGAGCAGCCGTAGGTGTAAAAAAGTTCATCCAGTTGAGTAGGTCCGGAGTGCCCTTGGCCTGGCGCTTCCGTTTTCGGAGGCCCGTCCATGCTTAGGGGGTGCCGGGCTCCCCACAAAAGTGGCATCCGGATTCCGACTTCAGGGGGGACACCCGATCACAGGGGGTTTCTCCGAAGTTCCCGCAAAAGGCGAGGGGCTTTTACGGGCATTCTTTCGGGAGACAACTGGTATGTGAGCTTTTCATATCTTTTCGTATGTCGTCCCGCTACCTCTGCCAACATGAAACATAGGTAAACCCAAGGACTCGGCGTTTGCCACGGGAAGCTGGCCCCACGGGCCTCTTTGAAAGGCTGGCCCGAGAGGGTCCAGAAGTTTTAACCCACGGTCCCGTCTGAGCGCCTTGGCAGACTTGGGCATTAAGATCAGCCTCGAAAAGTGGTCTCGACTTCAATCCAAGAGTCCCCAAGTTCAGGATCCCTAGGATTTAGGACACTGCATGCCACATGTCGCTGTTGCAACCCAGGCGCCAACTATCAAACTCTTGGCTTGCAAAACCGCGGCCAGACAGTCAGATGTGATTGGTCGCTCAGGGGAACCCGAACAATTGCGGTTTCCGTGCACTTTCCCTTTTCAGCAACCCCAAAAGAGCACCCTGAAAGACATGCCCAAACAGCTGCATCACCGGCCTGAAACGAGCAGGAGGCATCCTGGAGAGCTCGAAGAGAATCCAGCCCCCCCCCCGTTTCACGGGGAGAGAGGGGGCTTCAAACCCTCCCACATTCAAAACATGTTCTCTGAAACTCTGCGGGCCTTCAACAAGATCTGTTGCAACTTGCTTTAACCCAAGGAAACCACCAATTCCAGAAAGACCCAAGGCGAACCCAAGGGAAACCAGTCAGAGTTGGTTTCAGCAGTTGGCAGGTGTCAACATTCCGCGCCAAAGCACACTGCAAAAGCATCAGCCCATGCAGAACCCCCTTGAAAGCAGAATCTTGGATTTTGCTTCCAGCCACGAAATGGGTGTGTCTTCTTTTAGGGCACCCTTGTTTTGTGGCTTTAAAGGACAACAAAAAATGACAACCACATGTTCTCCTTTTGTTACTATTGTTCTTCATGTCTATTTTTCGGGGGTGGGGGGGAAACCCCCATCAAAAAAAAAACAAAAAAAGCCAATATAGACTGAGCAATGGTGAAGGTTTCGGAGCGTTCTGGACCAGACTTTGATCGGGGCTGGCCATTCCCTCAATTCCATGCCACCTCGCGGTCGCGCCGTAGAAATCGGCCGGGGAACCACGGGGCTTCCACCAGAAACCCCATGGGAGCCCTCTCGGAAGTCTTTTCTATGGGATCTCCGGTTTCCTTTCAGGGAGAATTTCCTCAACCCGAAGGACCTACAAATACCCACACTAGGTCCTCCAGATTGGAGAGGTTAGAATAAGGGTACCTTTTTCTGTAGTCTGTTGTAGTAGGGGAACACTCTCCCAAAAAAGGGGAGAGAAGGGCACTACTGGGCGACCTGGAGCCGAATGCGAGACTCTTGAACCTGGAAGTCAAGCAATCGACCAAGTGATGCGACAAGTGCCCTGGCGATCGATGGATCGGGGGATACGGCGACAATATTGAGAGGGTGGGTGAGCCGTCCACTCGATGGCTCTGGCACACCAAAGGCCAAAACCTCGAGAAATCCACATAAAGCGCAAATCCAAACCTGGGCTGCCCTCGGATCTCCCACTAAAAGCTTGACTTTTAGTGGCGTGAATGGAAACTGCCACTAAACACTAAAAGGCTAAAAAGCTAAGGAGCCGGATGGCTGGCTTCGCCACCAAGAAACCGCTTTTTCTGGAGACCCAGTTGGGCGCAACTGGCCCCGTCCTGGGCCTCCAAGTTGACCGCGTGCGCTTCGAAAAGCCGGCGGCACTCTGCTTGGAGCTCGATCAGGGATGTAACCCTCGGCTCAAGCAGTCTTGGGTACTCACGGCTCGGATGGCACAGGTACACACGTATTTAAATACATATATATATATATATACACACATACCCCTCCCCAGACCCTACCTTTCCTTGGGGGGGGGGGGCATACATATATATATATATATATGCACCGTTCTAACTGTTGATATGGTAGCAAGGACATTGGTTCTTTGCAGCTCCTAATGGTCAGAACCAAGCATGGGTTCTGTAGGCCGAACCCTCGCGAAGCCCTGCGGATCCTTACGTCAGAGCCGCCCCGGACCAGCCCGAAGCTATCTGGGTCAGGCCCCATTGCTTTCAGCTGTTGGGAGTTTTCTTTTTTGTTAACAACTAACAAACCTGCCAGCGACAATAAAGATACATATATGTTCCATATGTTTGTTCTTGATGTCTAGTTTTGTTTCCCAAAATCGTTTATGTTTATCTCAGAATGCAATAGGTGAGGGGAGGCTGCAGGGGCACGGTATCTTGGGGCCTTCAGGTTCGCACCGGCTCACATTGGGTAAGCCGAAGACACACGGACAAGCTTTTGGGCCCAGGACAAGCAGTGACAAGCAGTCCAAAGCTGAAAAACCGAATGGTGGCGCCTTGATCCTGCATGCGCGTTTGATGTGGGAGGTATCTGGACGTGAATCCAAACACACAATCCCAGAGTGAGGCATCACCCTTGGACTACCATATCTTGGTTCCCACGATGCTGGGCGTACTTCGCTACTTCACAGCCGGTGCCGAACAGGCGTCTGTAGAGCGCGCGCTAGTTTCAAAACCTGCTCAATGCTCAACCTCCCCCGGATCAGCGGAAAAAATACAGATCAAGGCATGCAAGGTTTCAGGCGAATCGCAAGGATCTGCAGAAATTATCAGACTTCCAGACCTGAAAACAGAACTGGATCAGTGAAGGATCCACATCAGCCATGTGCGGCTTCGTGAACCATGGGTGGGCCCTCATGATACCTGAGTCAGATGGGGAGTTGGCTTTTCATTGGGGGCGCCCCGTGTTTTGGTTGGTTTTAAAAGCGAAGCCAAAGCAAACAACCACAATTTTGGGGAGTTCCCTAAAACGAGACACACCCATGGGGGTATTCAACCTTGATACAAGGCGTTGTGCATCTGACTTTCTCTGCCGGGCATCTTAGCTGCATCCGCCCAATCATCTGGGCAAGCCTGAAGACAACGACCCCATTTAGGCCCACCCCTCTCTCTCTCACTGGGCCTGGATATGTCAATGAAAATGGATGGCGACATCTGAAAACCACTCGGCCAAGAACTTGAGCAACTGGACAAATGATATTCCCAGAAAAGCCCACCGGACTGCGGACCCTCTCCATCCTCCCTGTAGGAGTCACAGTGCCACAAGCAAATCCTGGTAAACCCCGAATACTCCTCGTTCCAGGCACCTACAAGGAAAATGGTCCAAACCAGGACCCCCCAAACGTCAGGTTCCATGTTGATTGGAGCGAAGGTAATAAGATATCCCACTTCTTGAGCGGGTTGGCCACAAAAGTCCAACCCTTTTTGTTTAAAACTATCATTGCCTTCCTATAAAATTCAAAGTCCAGGAACTCGGGAAGCTAAGTGAGGTAATTCATGTCAAGGGTTTTATTCATCCGGGTCAGAACCTGAATAAGAATCTTCCATTTGCTTAAGCCCCCTCGCAAAATAATAATAATAATAAATATGCCCAATCGTGATAGATTCCCTTTAAAACCAACAGGGCAGAAACAAACACTTAAGCAAATGGAAGGAATGGGGTTCTGGGTCAACAAATCGAAGCGATTTCCCCCCGAATTCAAATCGCCTGCTCGAGATGGTGCAGGAGTTCCAGCAGCTTGGTGTGCAAAAGTGGTGAAACCTCGAAGTTCGCGCAAATCATCAGCTCCTACCCGCCAGCCACCAGCCATTTCCGGGTTTGGGTCCAGAGAAAAATGCGATCCCCCATAAAACTAACAAGAGAACATAGCACATATGCTTCTCAGCAAATGGAAGCTATCCTGAACCGATTTAGACGAATTCAGCGTCTTTTCCTGTGAGGCCTACACCTGAATGATTTTAAACAAATGATTCAGCTATATCCCATTGACTAGCGCTAGCCTAGGTGGCCGCATGGAGGCAGTTTCAAGGAATTGAATGGTTGCCAATGCCTGAACCTTTCCTGACTGCAACTATCATCTCTTCGATACTGGAGGCGAAATTAAACAAGTGGAACGCCGGCCTTTCCAAGTTTCAGGAATCTGAAGCCTTCTCAGCCAACTGAGATGAAATGCCATGGTCGTTTTCAACATTTGTTCATGCAACACGGATCTGTATTAAGTGTTTCCTCAGTCAATTCAACAGGAGCCCGGACGGGTAAATTGGTGTGGGCATATCCTTTCACCTGGCGGGCGGGGGGAAGGCTCCCGCAAGGGACCTCAGACAGAGGGTCCAATCTCACTGGTGGCCTGGTATCATTTGTGCTTCGTTTTTGTTGAGGAGACCCCTTGCTTGGTGGTTTCAAAGTGACCCCCCCCCCCCCAAAAGAAGAAGAAGAGGCCATTTTGGAGGTCCGATTCCTAGAAGAAGACAGGCCCCAGGAACATGGTCACGAGTTGTTCGTTACGCTTGGCAGACGGGTCTTTTGGGATCCCAAAATTTGTTGGTCCGGCGAAAGGTGGCGGAAGTGTCATGCTCTGGGGGGCAATTGTTCATTTTCACGGCCAGCCGGATTCTTCTCACCGAGACAGCGCGCCTAAAGAAGATCTCTGCGACTCGCCCACTTGTCCAAAGAAGAAGCGGAACGGCAAACAAACACACAAACACGCAAACACATAAACAGACGGACGGACGGACAGAGACAAAGACAAAGACAGAGTCAGAGACAGACACAGAGACAGAGACAGAGACACGGCTACTACACGTGCGCCAAGCCAACACCAAACGTGAAGACCCAGTCTAAAGATCGACATGCTTAGGCTTAGGCCAACGGAGCCACTTCCATGATACCCGCTTGTTGCTCGACAGGACCCATCTTTGGGTGGCTGGCCTTATCCATGTGCTCCGGCTTCACCAAACGCTTGAGTTGATCGTCGACGTGGAGAGTGGACATCCAGAAGAGTACCCGGCCAGGCATCTGGTTTAAGTCCTTGCCCTTGGCGTGGCCATGCCCGAAACATGGGTCAGTCATCTGAATTCCCTGTCTCCGAAACCTGCCTTAGACCGCTTGAACTCGACCTCAGCTAGACCTACCAAAAATTCTGCTCTACACTTAGATGCAAACTAGTCACTACTCACAAAAGAGCCTGGCCTTTTTGCCATGGCCACTGGGCAGCAAAGCAAGAAGCCTAACGGGCTCCGAAGCCTAACGGGCTCCGCCCGCACGGGCGAGTTCGTCCCAAGCACGAGCAATGAATGACAAGAGCCGAGTCCTGTGAAGGATCCTCTTGAGACCCCAGGTTCTCAATTGAAGCCAGCTGATTAGACAAAGTGCCGTCACCCCCAAAAGCAAACTCGCCCCAAGCAGGCAGGCGGACTGGGTTTTAACGTACATTGTTGTGCTGCCTCTTGTAGCTATCATGATACCGCCCTCCAAGGGGCTTCACAACACCTTAAAGCTTCACTGAAAGGGGTCGGCATTCTGAAATGCTGTTGGCCCATGGCTTGCTAGTCAAGCTGTAGCAACGGCTCTAAGCACTCCCCACTTGAGAACGTCTTGCTTGGCTCTTCGTGGGTTCGGGCGTGCCAGGTTGTGCTACTTGCCCGCCTCAGCCTAAACCCTAAACCCAGATCTCTCTCTCTCTCTCGCTCTGTCTCTCTCTCTCTCTCTCTCTATCTATCTCTCTTTACTTGTATTTAGTACTTATTTGTTTATGTATTTCCTTCCTTCGTTCTTTCCTGGTGCTCATTGTGCTTCATGTCCTTGTTTCTTCAGAAAGTCCTTAGCGCGGAAATTATTTGCCTGGAACTCCAGCGGTGCAAATGAGTCAACTGACGTTCCAGGTCCTTGAAGGGACACGGCCGTGGGCTTTTTTCAGCTTCGCCGTTTGCCTGGGTGCCTTTTTTTGGGGGCCCCCCACCGTGTTCGTTTTTCTGTAAAACCATCCAAGAAGCTTCAGCTTCCCTCTATTTGGTGGCTTGGATTGGGGCTTGGGGGTGATGCGGGGTTGGTTTCCCATTCGCCCTCTACAAAAACAAGAGTCCCCAAACCACCAAACATCACCAAACAACAATTCAAGAGGTACGTGAGTTGTTTGCTCTTCTTGCCGAGAGCGGCTCGCTCAACGGCAAGAAAAGCGCGTGCCACCAGTGGGCCACCAGCGCCGCCTTTTTTCAGTCGCCAAGTGGCGCTCAGCGGGAGATCGGTCAGCCAGGGGAAGAAGTTGTAGGCGAAGTCCACGTGTCCTCCTCCGCGAAGGTCTAAGTCAGTCATGACCTCAGGCTGGGTCCGTTTTTGGGAGCGCGGGATCCGGTGACCAGTCTGCTGCCTGGCAGAAGGCACAACCAAAAATGGAAGCCACGCAGTTTGTGTCTGTAGGTTTCCTAATCGCTTGCCAAGACGTGGCAAGGAACGACAAGGCCTGAGCCCTCCCCTTCCGCTCAAATTTGAACTGAGGCCCAATCCTCTTCGTTAAGTCCAACTCCGAGAAGCCGCTTCGGGGATCCCCGCAGAAATGGCCCCGCTTCGCTGCCAAGGGGCGCCACCACGGATCTCCTTGTCGAAGAGGTTCCGAGGTACGGCGAACATGGGGCAGCAGGTGAGGGGCAAACACTCCATGCCCTCCCGGCAATCCAGGAACCGGAGAGACACCGCCACCTGCAGAAGCAGGTACGCCGCACCTGAGGCAAAGGAATGGCTCCCTTGGCATTTTTTGCAAAAAGAACCAAAGAGGACATGGATCATAGGACATGCTAGTCACAGCTAATTCATCTACACGTGCCATATCTTCTGATCCGGTCTTGGCGAAACCTTTCTTCTGGGGCGCGTTTGCCCAGCTGTTTGATCGCCCTTGGGACCAACTCCGTTTTCACTCGCAAATGTATGGAACCTCAAACCAAACAAAATGTCAGAGGCAGGACCCAAAAGGTATACAATTCTCTGCCTGCGCGGGGGGGGGACTAAACCAAAATCTGAGAATTCCGCAAACTGCTTCCACAGGGTGAGTGTACACCCTGAAATGCTTGCTTGGCCTCTCTGTTTGCATCCGCTCACTTGCCAAAGGACCTGGAAATAAAAGGTTTACATTATAACCTGACTATGGACCACATGAGGGGTTCCCCATGTTTGTTTGCAAAGGTTCACTTTTGCTCAGTTGCCCAAAAAAGGACGACATAGAAACGAAAGGATACACTTCTAGGGTCATGACTCCGACGTATCAAGTCCAAACCGACGCCAATCACAAAACAACGAAGATCGGTGCATCCAACTTGCACCGAGCTGGGTGTCTTTCTGAGGATTTGGACCCCCCTTTTACCTTTGGGTTTCCCTTTGACACTTTAACACCACCAAAAAACGGGTGCCAACTCAAAAAGAGACACCCCAAATGGTGAAGTTCTCCTAGTTTTCCTTTAAACCATAAAACATGGGGTATCAACTAAGAACAAAACACTCACACACATTTCGTGCCTGCAAGCAACAGCACCAAACAATGGGGGTACCAACTAAAAAAGAAAGAAAGCAAGAAAGAAAGAAAGAACAAAAGGAAAGAAAGAAAGAAAGAGAGAAAGAAAGAAAGAAAGAAAGAAAGAAAGAAAGAACGCCACAACTGGTCAGAGCCGCTCATCAGCCATCGGCAGGGCTCTTCTTCGAAGCCCTGGGCAAGCACCTCCCAGTCGTTCACCACGTCCTGCGAGTTTCCGCGCCCTCGCGAACATGCGGCCAAAAAAAGTATACAGCTCTATATGTATACTTACCCCTTAAAACTCCAAGCCCTGGGGAAGTTAATCTTTTACAGACATATAGCCCATGTTACCCAAAAAGTTGAAAAGTTGTGTTTTTAAGAGGTAAGTATAAATACAGTAGATGGTTGCGAAATCCGCTTCTCGCACCGCTTTGAAACGATGGAAAACCCATTGTTCGTGGGTATTTGAGGGGGAGTTTATCATTCTAGGGTTTCTGGGGTGGTGCAGGACTTCGTCCATCCACAGTATGTGCAGAAACATTGATGAGTTTGTCTCAACATAGGGGTACCCCCCCAAAATGGGTCGTTTGCCTGTGGTGTCCCTTTGACCAAACAGAGACACATCCAGTCTAGATGTGTCTTACATATGTCCAGCTGATATATTTATACAACTGTATACCGTGTATCCATGGCCCAGTGGAGGTATGTCTGTGTAAATGCGCTTTATTTCTCCATTCAGCCCGTAGAGGCATGTCAGACTTGAAATTGCCGACAGAACCATTTGGCCAGCTGAAAGATCTTTGCGCAACACGCGCTGCTGATTGAAGGTTCAATCGAAGAGCACGTGCCCTCTGCTTTGCGTGCATTAATTAATAGTTTCCAGCAGCACACTGAGATCACTGCACCCCACATCTCAAGAACGCTGCTCTGGAAATGTTCATGTACAAGTGCTCACAAAGCTCAGGTTTCAGGAATCCTTGTCTTTCTTGGCAATCCGCGACTTCAATTTCTTCACAGCCAACAAAGCGATTCCAGTCACCAATGCGAGCGTAGAGACGGTGTAAAGCACCATCTTGACCAAGCCGTCGTGCGCCGTCAAGCCATCAAGAGGGGCTGGCATGGCAAAGCACAGGCCCAGGATGAGCAGGAGCAGCAAGATCAACCCCGCGGCATAAACCTGAGGCTTCAACTGGCGTGGAGTCTGCATGTCCACCTCCTTGTTGCCCTCCATCACTTGGCTCTCCTTCACCTTGCCATCCTTGCAATCCTTGCCATCCTGGGTCTCCTTGCCCTCCGGCACCTTCTCCATATGCTCCTTGCCCTCCTTGCCCTCCTTGCCCTCCTTGCCCTCCTTGCCCTCCTTGCCCTCCTTGCCCTCCTTGCGAGGTGCAGGGGAGGCGGTGCGGGATTTCTTGGGAAGCTCCGCAACCTCCATGTCGACAACAGCCTCGAGCGGAGCCATGCTGTTGAGAGCTGAAAAGTAGTTTGAAGGCTTCGGAACTGCGAGGATGGCTTGATCCAAAATGTCTTCGTACACGAAGACGATTTTGCAAAAAATGTATTTGTTGACTATACCTACTTGTTGAACTATGATTTGTGTTGACGGCAGTTTCTTGTATTTTGCAGGGGCTTCGCTGGCAGATCTTGGCATTCTGATTGACCCGTCTACTCAAGCCCCCCAGGGAACAAGCCACAGGAGTGTCCACATGCTGGCCTCATCATTTACCATTATCAGGAGCACTCCCCAAATCTCGCTTCCTGAGTGGATTGGCCAAAAACGTCCCAACTTTGTGTTTGCGGCTAAGATGGTCTTCCCAAAAAACATGCAAGGTCCAGGCACTCAGGAAGAGAGAACTGGTCAAAGGGAATTGAAATGACTCCAGTTTGCCCCTAGAAAGAATCAACATGTTGGCCCCTGGATTGGCCCCGGAGAAAGAAAACTGAACGAAAAGGTGAATCAAACTATGTACACTTTACTTGCAAACAAAAAACACAAATACGGAGCGGCGAGGGCGAGTTTCCGCCCCTGGAGCAACAACAAAAATACACCCTCGCCAATATGCAGTCATGTATGTGCCAACATGCAGTCATATGTATACAGCTATGTATATATATATATATACATATGTCAGAATATGTGCAGAAACATTTATGGGCTTGTCTCAAAATAGGGGTGCCCCCCAAAATGGGTCGTTTGCCTGTGGTGTCCCTTCAACCAAACAAAAACACATCCACTCTTAGATATGTCTTACATATGTCTAGTTGATAGATCTATACAACTGTATACCGTGTATCCATGGCCCAGTGGAGGTATGTCTTTGTGAATGTGCTTTCTTTCTCCATTCAGCGCATAGAGGCATGTCAGACTTGAAATTGCCAACAGAACCATTTGGCCAGCTGAAAGATCTTTGCGCAACACGCGCTGCTGATTGAAGGTTCAATCGAAGAGCACGTGCCCTCTGCTTTGCGTGCATTAATTAATAGTTTCCAGCAGCACACTGAGATCACTGCACCCCACATCTCAAGAACGCTGCTCTGGAAATGTTCATGTACAAGTGCTCACAAAGCTCAGGTTTCAGGAATCCTTGTCTTTCTTGGCAATCCGCGACTTCAATTTCTTCACAGCCAACAAAGCGATTCCAGTCACCAATGCGAGCGTAGAGACGGTGTAAAGCACCATCTTGACCAAGCCGTCGTGCGCCGTCAAGCCATCAAGAGGGGCTGGCATGGCAAAGCACAGGCCCAGGATGAGCAGGAGCAGCAAGATCAACCCCGCGGCATAAACCTGAGGCTTCAACTGGCGTGGAGTCTGCATGTCCACCTCCTTGTTGCCCTCCATCACTTGGCTCTCCTTCACCTTGCCATCCTTGCAATCCTTGCCATCCTGGGTCTCCTTGCCCTCCGGCACCTTCTCCATATGCTCCTTGCCCTCCTTGCCCTCCTTGCCCTCCTTGCCCTCCTTGCCCTCCTTGCCCTCCTTGCCCTCCTTGCGAGGTGCAGGGGAGGCGGTGCGGGATTTCTTGGGAAGCTCCGCAACCTCCATGTCGACAACAGCCTCGAGCGGAGCCATGCTTTTGAGAGCTGAAAAGTAGTTTGAAGGCTTCGGAACTGCGAGGATGGCTTGATCCAAAATGTCTTCGTACACGAAGACGATTTTGTTTTTTGTACTACACCTACTTGTCGAACTATGATTTGTGTTGACGGCGGTTTCGTGTATTTTGCAGGGGCTTCGCTGGCAGATCTTGGCATTCTGATTGACCCGTCTTCTCAAAGATATTGGCCCAGGATCGGCCCCGAACAAAAAAGGAATGAAGAGATAAATCAAACCATGAACACTTTTGAAAACGAAAATACGGAGCGTTGGGTTAAAGCAAGATACGGAGCAATGGGCTCAAGCAAGAGCTCAAAGTTCTTGGGGCCGCAGCTATTCCTTGATTTGGGTGTGTGTGCTTTTCGGAGACTGCAATTGTTTGTCACCCGGGGGCGGTCCAAGACACGGATTTTGGGGTTGCCGCGGACCATGTTCCATCCACCCCATTGGCGCCCATGCCCCCGCCCCCATCCGCAGGCATCCCCATCCGTCGCGGATCCCGTCTGCCCGCCTGGCCGTACCAAAGTGCCTGCACGTCGGGGAGGAAGGCCCAGAAGACCGGGCACCAGAAGGGCTTGAAGTCCAGACCCTGCCACTGAGTCACCACTTGGCCACTCCCTAAAGGTTTTGCTAGGTCCTCCAGTAGAGAGGTTCGAATAAGGGTACCCGATTTTTTCTGTAGTCTGTTTTAGTAGGGGAACCCTCCCCAAAAAAAGGTACAAGGGCACTCTGGGGACCTAGTTTTGATACGGTATCTAAGGTGTAGGAAAGGGGTTGCTTTGGGATGTGCAGCGACTTGTTGGTGGCAGCTTCGCTGACATGGAAACCCCTAAGACGCATCACTAGAGGAATCTTCTTTTGCGGGACCCTCTGCTTGGATTCCTGCCTTAACTAGCCAAATGTCTTCGACGGGCGCCGCTTGGCTGACATCTGGCCCTGGATGGCCAGGCTGAAAATAACTGGCACCAACAGCGCCGTACTGTGGATGGGCAGAATCCTGCACCAGTTGGATGGACGAAGCCCTGTGAATGCTGCGATCAACCTCCTACCAACTGGTGCAGGCCTCAGTCCATCCACAGAATGACACTGCTTGCGTGTATAAAGTGAAGAGGCCGCTTTGACATGCAACATATATTGCCTTGCGACAAATCCGTCAACAATACCCTCAAGCGTTTGGGCCCATGGAACCTGCTTTGTGTCCTGAGTGGATTGGCAGAACAAAGCCGACTGTTCTATTTATCAGCAAGCTGGGCTGTTCTCAGATCCCTGCTGCAAGTTTGTTTTTTAGCAGCGTGGGTTACACGGGAACCTCCACTAAACCAACTAAACAGCTAAAAAGCTATGCGGATGGCCAGGAACCACCAACGTAAACTGACCCCCCCCCCCCCCGGAAAAAAAAGAAGCTCTGGTGATTTCCCCAACAGCGGGCACAGAACATATATGTATATATATATATATATATAGCAAACCAAAAAATCGCCCGGACCTCGTGTTTTTCTGTTTTCTCCGGAATGCCCGCGTAAAAATCACAAGTTTACAGCAAATGACAGGAATCAAAATCCAAACCTGAAGCAAACAGCTGGGTCAAGGGGCGATCCTAAACCTAAACTTGGGGACCCTTTGCGCGCACCTAGGGTGAATGAGTTCCATCCTGCAACTTTCTACAATCCCACCACATGAAATAAGAATTGGATTCCCAAGTACCTACATCATGGATTGTGCTTCTTTTTATCAGCAGGTGAGCTACAGAGCCCACATGGACCAATCCAAATCACCCAAAGCGGCGGGCTGCGGCTCACGTCGCCTGCAGAAGATCCACACCCAGATGGAAGGAGAAGGCAACTGCAGCCGCAAGTACCTGGAGAAAGCCATTGGTAAGAAGAAGCCGACCTCAGGTCTTGCTTCTGGGTAAGTCAGGATTGCCCTGGCAACAAAAAGCGGAAGTTGGGTTTGGAAATGGTACACCTACATGAAAAAGGTGTGACAGCCACACGGCCGGAACCTAAAAAACCCAACCATAGAGGAAACTCCTGCTGGAAATTGGACACCCCTTTTGGACTCCATGTTGTCAATTTGTAGGGAGTACTGGGAGCCAAAACCCGAGCTTTCTTTGATCTGGCTGGTTCTGCGCAGGGGTCATTCGGAGTGCTTTCTTTTTCTTGGGGCGGCTCTTTCTTCAACAATCCGCCCAGGCCAAGGTAGCATCGGGGTTTGGAGGGGCGCAATTGCCCAAGACATGAGTTTGCACACCCTGCACGGTTCTCAAGGATGAAAGCCACCAAGGTGCCAAAACCACTCCGACTCTGTTCCTGGATTGGCCAAGGCGAGTCCAAACGCTCTGTTTACTATGGAGTGAAGTTCTGTTTATTTGCATGGAGTCCATCTAAGTGGGATGATACCTTTGGCGCACTCTGCAGCTGATCCTCTCCAAACATTTGTAGAAGAACCTCTTTCTCGGGATGTTTCTTGGGACCCACGTTTGGTCATCCGATTCGGGGCTCCGGCAACCAGTTGCTCCCTCCCCATTTTCCCCCCTTCGATGCGGCCGACTCTGGGCACGGAGCCCAGCTTTCCGCCGAAGATGACCAGGGGAAGCCATCCAAACTCGAAGACCAGCCCAAACCTCAGAGGCGTTTTGGGCGGAGCGAGGTCAGCCTCGATCTGGATGAGAGGTGCCCCAAAAAGAGACCGGGCCAAGGGGAATTGACGCTGCTGCGTCTGGAAAAAGCAAAAGAAGTCCGATCCTACGGTTCACCCCTGTGGACTCTCTGATTCTAGCCGTGCTAGGAGTTGGACCTCTGTTGGGCACTGATTTGCAGGAAACGCACAAACAAAAAAAATACGCGGCCTGCTGGAAAAGTTGTAGGCCATCATTGCAAGGGGTCGGACATGCTTCTTGACCCTAGATGGCCTTGGTTTCTTCCAGAAGGCTGATGCTCGCGACGGGTGCATTGTCTGAGGGGTTGGGTCCTTTCCGAATCCTTTCTTGTCTCGCATTTTCCGCCGGGCTCCGCTGCTCATGTCTTACTCGAGGGCATGAAAACACCCACATGTTGTGATGGAACAACCAGCCAGAAATGCAGACATTCACCCTATGGTGTGGACTGCCAAGGGCTGCGAATTCAGAGGCCAACGGATCTGCATATTTAAACAAATAAATACACACATAAACAAATTAGAATATGTATCAATGAACGAACACATGAATATAAAAAAACACATATTGTTCTTATAAGTGTATACATATTTATATTTGTATATATCAATTTAGGTTTTAAAGCACGTACACGCTCCTCACTTACAACCCCTCCCGCATGCCACAAGCCACAACTCAACGAGTCACATCGTGCCGTTCCGCCAAACCGGTTGCACGAGTCCATAGTCCATGCTCCCCAAAAGGCCAAAGGCGGTGAATCTAGAAAACAGTTTGGAGATTCCCCCTGTTAGCCCTTTTTATGTGTAATCTTTTAGTACCCCTTTACTATTCAAAGCCACATCCTAGCCGTTCTCTAGAGTCAACGCCCAACCCTCGACCCTCAACCCAGGAATCAACATCCATCTTGCCGACCGTCAAGTGCTCAAGGGGCAAAGATGGTAGAGGTTACCAAGCGTTGACTTGTTGGTTCAGATAGGTCCAAGTCTGGGTGTGCTCTTGGAAAACTGGAGTGGAATCAAACCAATTTTTATTGGGAGCTGAACTCAATGGGGGAACTGCTGTGGATGACAGAATCCATTTCCCACTCCTTTGAAACCATGGTTCAAACCATTGCGCTTGTCGGTACTTACAGGGGAATCGAATCATCCCGTGTTGTTTAGGCGGTGCGTTGGATTTCGCCCGGGTCCAGCCCCTGAGTGTCTCGCAAGGCCATAGACGTGCAGAGATACCAGCGCTGCAACAGAAAGCGCTGCGCGGCGCGGACCAGGGCGGAGGGGTGGGGGCGGCTCCACATGGCGTCCAGGATGTAGGCTTGCCTCGGCTCCCATGGACCCAGGCATAAGTCCGATTCTGGAACCCAAAAGGCTTGAAAAGAGGCGGTTGCTCGGTTGGTTGGTTGGTTGGTTGGTTGGTTGGTTGGTTGGTTGGTTGGTTGGTTGGTTGGTTGGTTGGTTGGTTGGTTGGTTGGTTGGTTGGTTGGTTGGTTGGTTGCTCGGTTGGTTGGTTGGCACCCTGCGGTGGATCATGTTGCGAG